ACAGTTTTCAATATATACTAGAAAAGACAGTTTTCTAAAATCAAGCTTTGTCTTTCAGAGAACTGACAACTAGGAATTTTGAACTGTCTTCTGAAAAACAGAAAACTTCAGCTTCCAGAAAACTGAACCAAACAGGCCCTTAAAAAAGCCAAACTCCAATCTGCAACTCTACATCTTTCTGTGGTTACTGATTCTTCTTGTGACCAAATCACATGGCATCTATAATAATCTGAAAATCCACTAATCACTGAATGAATCTATATACCCAGTTAATTTCTCATTGTTAAAACAAAAACACAAACGGACACCCAAAGCATAAATTATTTTTCCTAACAATTTTAGTAAATTGTTCAACTGAGTTGCTGCGATTTATTCATGCCCATGATCACAAATACCAGAAATAGCAAAAGTCAAAAAGAATAAGACATGGATCAGAAACCAATCCACATCCAACCTTAGACTTGGTTTGATCAGGTTAAGATCAAAAGGCCAAACCTACTGCCATTTACAAAGGAAAAATAAAAGTATCAAAAGTTGTTTAAAAGAATAGAATATTAACTTTTCCAATTTTTGTACCAAAGTAGACCTGCAGTAAAGTGCTTTTTCAATCTTTGGGATAGACTTTGAACCATCGTCCCCACAGATTCATAACAAGTACAAAATTAAGAAATGACATTATGACAAGTATGATCACCCAAATGCTTCTGTAATGGGCTCTCCCTGCCAACAGATTGTTTCATCATTGGTGTTTGAGTAGAGTTAAAACATGATTCATGAGCATAGAACGAGCACATTACCTGCTCTAGATATAAAATACGGGGGAAGCTCTCCAAGTGCAGTTCCAATACCCCATAGGATAGCCTCTAACTGAACCTGAGGTAATATGCTACTAAGTGGAACACGTGAACCAGGTAATGAAAATAATGGTGGTCCATAATCAGAGCAATCTCTATCCAGCCATGAAGGACCACTTTTCAACTGAATTGTATCGTACGGAGCACTTTTTATATCGACGCGGCCACAATGCACAGATTTCATTGTAAATAGGGCAATGTGTGGGCCCAAATACAACACAAAGGTGTGCAAACCAGAACCTGCAGAATGGAAGTCAATCAAAAATTATAATTCATCAAGCAAAGCCAGAACTCCCAAAAAAACGCAGTGGTTTCATGTGCCTACCTGAAAACAGTGAAGACAGGTGAAACCTGTTAGGGTAGCTCGAATGGCATGACCTCAGGTTTACTACCTTGAGGTCACAAGTTTGAGTGCTTAAGCAATATCTGTGGTTTGCGGGTGATTGAGTATGTCCAAGGTTTACGTTGTAACCATGAGTACAAAACATATATAGTTGGAATGGTTCCTCCTTACCCAGAAAAAATAATAACAACAATGAATACACGTGAAGCTAGATACCTAATTAAAAAGTCTTTAACAATAATTCCAGGATGCAAAGGTCAGTGGTTTTGACACCATACAGTTTGTACAAACAATTAATTTTAACAAGATTAATTTGTACCCAAAAGAATCTACTATAAGAATAACCATGGGTCGGGCCGCCAGGCTGGTTGAGCCAGACAGGGTTCATGTGAGGCCTACACTATGAAATAACAAAAGTAAGGCTACAGATTGGTCAAATCAAGCCTCAATGGGCTTGACCAGCCCAAAATAGCCTCTCCGCATGTGGAGGTAAGGCTGCATACACGTGACCCTCCCCAGACCCCGCAATGGTGTAAGCCTCGTTCAGTGGGTTTGCCCTTTAATGGGCTTGGACAGCTGTTTCTGAAACACTTTATGTGCTTGGGTTGATTAATATCAACTCTGACCTCAATTATATTACAGCAAGTCTTTTTTCCTAGCATTTGATTGTTTGTTTACTATGTTTAACAGACCCAAAAATCATTCCATACGGTCATCTTCTTTTTCAAAATTCCCCAATTCTTAGAACTTTAATCTCATAACAAAGTACAGCTACAAGTCCAAAAGCCTGATAAGACAGAGTATGATAAAAAAAATTATTATTGTCATAGCTTGTGCTGAGCATAGGCTAACCTTCAAACTGATCCCTAAAGAGAATATGTGTTGGCCCTGCCATGGGAATGTGACAGAACTCTCTTCAAACTGATCCCTAAAGAGGGTGTGTGTTGGCCCTGCCGTAGAATGTGACAGAACTTTAGCAGAAAGTCAATTCACAATCTTCTGTTTGGTCATGCCATGTGCTATCCAAATTTTGCTTGAATCACTTTGGCGTGAAGCCATTCTAGCTTTTAAAATCCTGCTTTCCAGCAATTTTTGGGCATAAATAAAATGATCTTCAAGTGAAGCTACATTGCATGAATAACAACACCGTGATATAGATCCAATAATCACTTATAAGAGAAAAACTTAATTTCTCATGGAAAGAAAGGCCATTCCTCGGTGTGGAGCGCTTAATTGAGCATATATACTCAGAGCAGCATCAAGTAACCTACAAGGCAACATAAATAACATACACAAGATCCTAGTTGTCATTGATACCTTAAAGAATGTCTTAAATGTCTAAAGGTGCATTAGTACTTGCAACCTTATGTTACATGGACTTTGGTATGTGCGTTGGGTGTGGATGAGTAAGCAAGTGTGTTGGTTGTATCACATCTCCAAACAGGGGGGTGACACAGGGACACTGCATTATCTAATATTAAATAGTATTTTCTTTCATTTTCTAGAGTAGAATAATGTTTTTATGCAAAAATTGTTCAACATAGGCATTGCACTCATTTTGAAGTAACAATGTAATAAAATTGAGTTATTGGGTATGGTTTTTAGGCGCATGTCCAACCAAATGTGTTGGACAGACATTCACACTCAGCCCAAACACCGTACGTGGGTACTTCACTTATTTTTTATGAGTCCATGGTGTGGAGTGCAACAGAAAAATACAAATGAACTTAGATTTATATATATATTTTTCACTTACCCAAACCAATTGATGATGCTACACCAAGGGCTAACCACCATAGTCCAAATTGAAGATAATAAAGAAGCTCCTGAAAATGCTGCAATATTAGCGAAGTAAATACATGGTTCAGGGATATTCAAATTGAGAAAATGGAATAATGATAATGTGCCAATACTTCAGCACTTACAGGAAGTACAAGTACATCAACTGCAAATGCACAACTATACAACTACGACAAAAATTTCGATACCTCTTTGTGAGGCCCACTGACTATAGTCATCAGTATTCCAATACCCCCAGAGAGAACACTTAGAAGCATAAGCCAACCACGCTTCTCAAAGATACAAAATAGTGGTTGCTGAAGATATTGAATAACAGCCAAAGTGAACAATTTTATCGTCTTCAAGGGCTGTGCTGTCAATGACAGATTCTCTAGCTCCTGCTGATGCTTCTCATGGAGTTCTGCATAAATGAACAAATCAATAAGTTAAAAGAAATCAGAAGGATTCCTATCTAGGCCATAGAAGATGTGAACTTTTTGAGCCTATTTAACAACGGTAATTACTTTGCCATTGTAATCCACATCTAGGCCATAAAAGACGTGAACTTTTCTAGCCTATTTCAGTCTTTTAATCTTTTTGAGTTTGAGCTTTAGGAATCAGGGTGCTAGAATAACATTATACAACTACAACATTTCCCGTCAATATAGCCAATCTACGAGTTATGCAAGAACTTCGGGTAGTCCATATTAGTGTTAAGTTTCAAACTTGTTTGTATATTATAAACTTGTAATCCACTTATCAAAAATATATTAGGGTAAACTACATTAAACCCCTCTTTTCTATCTGTGTTTTTCACTAAACCCCCCTTTTTCTATTTTTTTGTCAAAAACCCCCCCTCAACTATTAGAGGGGGGTGATTTAACTAACTGCCGTTAACTAACTATTAGAGAGGGTCGATTTAATTCTCAAATATATATATATATATATATATATATATAGCAAATAAATTTCAAGAAAAAAAAAAAACCTAGATTTATATTGGAAAATAAAAAATTAGGCATTATTTCTGGTAGTGTCACTTTAATAAATCTATATAAAATAAAAACCAAATAAATGAATGCACAATATAATTCTGAAACATATATATATATATAGCAAATAAATTTCAAGAAAAAAAACCTAGATTTATATTAGAAAAAAAAACCATTGCAACAATATGTACTCTTCTTCCTGTTCAACTTCTTTTATTTACCTATCATTATAATATTATATATAATTTGTATCATAATATAATGGTATATATAATATGTATCATTAAATATTATTTAAATATATTTTCATTTCCATCTAGCCTTCAGACCAATATAAATCTAGGTTTTTTTTATATTATTATTTAGGAAAAAAATCTAGGTTATTTTTTTTTCTTGAAATTTATTTGCTATATATATATTTGAGATTTATATTATGCATTCATTTATTTGGTTTTCATTAATTTTAATTTTATATAGAGTTATTAAAGGGACACTACCAAAAATAATGCCTACTTTTTTTTCCAATATAAATCTAGGTTTTTTTTTTTTTTTTTTTCCTTGAAATTTATTTGCTATATATATATATATATATATATTTGAGAATTAAATCACCCCTCTCTAATAGTTAGTGAACGGAAGTTAGTTAAATCACCCCCTCCTCTAATAGTTGAGGGGGCTTTTTTTGATTAAAAAAAATGGTAAATTACACCTAGACCCCCTGTGGTTAGGTCATATTACACCTATATGAACATTTTAGTTTTAGATTTCACTTGTATATGAATTAGTGATTTAGCATTTCACTTGCACCCCAAATATCAATTTAAGACTATACTATCCTTTGACCTAATATTAATTATTTTTGTGACCAAACTACCCATCCCCCCTCTCTGTGAACCTTCCCCCCTCTCTATCTCTACCCTCTTTTTCCCCTCTCTCTCTCCCTCCCGTCGGAATCAGTTGTAGTCGGCGAAACCAAACTCAATTCGGATTACAGGCTTAACGAAACCCAGTTCTTCTCCGGCGACAAACGACAGAACTGAACTGACCCAGTTCCGGCGAGCTCCTAGTGTCGGCGAAACAAAACTCAATTCCGGCGAGCTCCAAGTAGCAAGACCCAGTTCATATCGCCGTGTTCCCAAACGACGACAAAGCAACGACGGGCGTCTAGTCAGAGCAATCAGCGATGACGGCATCGGATGTGGCTGTGGTTTGTGGATCTGTGATGCGGCGGGCCGACGGGGGTGGTATATGGTGTGGGTGATATACATATATGTGTGTGTGATTTGGTGGAAAATAGGAAAGAAATCCTAAATCGAAGAAAGAAGACAAGGATTCAATGCCGCCGGAGGCTTCGACATCATTGCCGTCTTCTCCACCGTCGTCGCCGTTTGATTTGACAAATCGTCGTCATCGGCGAATCGATCCCATTGTCTCTCCCGCCGCCATCGCGACCACCTCCACCATGACCTCTTTCATTGCTGCCGCGACTGTAGCTACCTCTCTACACACAAACCTTCACACACAGATACGCGACTGTAGCACGAGATGAGGATTTTTGCCGCCAATTACGACGCCGTCGTGGCTGTAAGCATAATCCGATGTGTCGCTGCCGAGATATATTGATTGGGCCACCGTAGAGGTTGTAATCTGACACCCGCCGCCGACATCAACTCACCTTCGATTCTTTGTCATCGACGTCCATTTCGGCAGTGGGTGGGATGGAATTTTGTGTATTTTTGGGTTTGGTTTTAGGTGGGTGGTGGTGATGAGGTGTTGGGTGGAGGTGTAGTTTGGTTTTGGGTGGGTTGGTGGTGTAGGGAGGTGTTAGGGTGGGACGTTGGTGGAGCTGCCGGTGTTGAATATATATATATATATATATATATATGGGCTTTTTTGTCATTTAAGATTATATATATATATTGTATTAAAAAATTGAGGGTAAAATGGTCTATTCACATGTATCAGAAGTCAAAAAGTAAATTGGGGTGTAAGTGAAAGTTAAAACCAAAATCTTCATCTGGCTGAAATATGACCTAACCTCAGGGGATCTAGGTGTAATTTACCCTAAAAAAAATAAAAAAAGGGGGTTTAATGAAAAACACAGATAGAAAAGGGAGATTTAATGTCATTCACTCAATATTTTATAACCTTGTTTTCAGGATGATTTAGGTTAAAGTGTTAAACTTAATTACAACTCTGACCTATAAGTTTTGTTTGAAGTTAGTTGCATAAATTTGTTGACGCAGCTATTTCCATTTATACTCATGTCGCACTAAAACAATGACAAAAAAGTTGCACCCAGTGTACAATGCTCCTGCATTCAGCAAAGTCAGGGAGAGGTTAGGCAGTTACCCTATTTACAAAGGCAGATACCAGGACTCAAACTCGCGCCACTATGGGGTGAAGCATCACTCCAGTTTGAGTGTATTTGAATTTGTTAGTTTTTGTTTTTAAACGTACTTGAAATCATAAAACTAATAAGAGAGGAAAATAATTAGTTTCTTTTTTATTTTTTCTTTGCTGTCAGCGGCTTTAAAGTAATTTGTTAGTTTTTGTTTTTAAGCATACTTGAAATCATAAAAGTAATAAGAGAGGAAAATAATTAGTTTCTTTTTTTATTTTTTCTTTGCTGTCAACGGCTTTAAAGTTAAAATACATATGAGTCATGATATAATTGCAACAAAATTCATTAAATATCATTAAACCATACATTTATACATTTATAGAATTATTGGATTAAAAAAGGCATATTTCTACAAGGAGTAATTACACTAACCTCCCATGAGGTTTCGTCAAGCTACATTGACCTCCCCTTGTTTGCCAAATAACAATGACCTCCCTCAAGGTTCGTATACGTACAACAAGGACCTCCCCTCCATTAACCGAAAATACTGTTACTAACAAAAAAAAATATGATGTCATCAATTTTTTATTATCAAATTTCCATTCTACCCTCAAAGATATGTAAATAAAGCAACTAAATTGTCTACAATACCCTCATAATTATTTCTCCCCTCTCCTCAAATTCTTTCCAATCTCTCTCTCTGCTCTCTTTTCTCAATCAAAACCAAAACGTAAACAAATTTTTTTTTTTTTTTCAGAACCCTCATAATTATTTCTCCCCTCCTCAAATTTTATCTCCAATCTCTTTCACTCTCTACTCTCTTTCCTCCATCAAATCCAAAACGTAAACAAGTTGATAGGCAAACACTTCCCCTTTCTTCTCCACAGGTTAACTGCCGACGACCTTCCTCAAACCGCCGTCGCTGACGATGACTACCACCCGCCGCTCCAAACAGCTGGGTCGACCTCTCCCTCTTCGAAACCTTTGAGAGATCCCACGGTGACTGGTCTTCGAAACGGGGAACAAGAATTCCGATGGGTAAGGAGGACGCGGCCACGGATAGCTAATTTTTCAACTTATCATGATAGACTCAGTAGTGGCAATAATAATCCTATGTTAGAAACAAAATTGAATGATCTATGCCTGACATTCAACTATCAAAAACAGATTGCAAATTCAACTACTATAATATAGCTAAGAAACAAAAGTATGTCAAATTCTCTGCCAACCAAACAGAGTATAATACGGTAAATCGTCATGTAAGTCAATTTGAACCCAAACCCTAACGCTCGAGTATCACAAACCACCTCATATAAATTCAACCACCAATATATACCTACACATTATTTATATATATATATATATATATATATATGAACTGTGTGACTGACCTGAAATAAACGAATCAACGTGAGCTTGAGAATGAAGAGCATGAGTGGAAGAAGACGGAGAGATTTGGTGTCCTTGGGACTCCATTGCACATCACTCTGCGAAAAACCACAGAGTCTCCGGATTGAATTTGTAGTGAATGTATTGGTCAAGAAGAGTGGCCTAGAAAGTCGCGAATTTGGACTTTCTCGGGAATCGAAAACGAAAGTTTTTGAATTCTAATCGGAAAGTAATAATTGCAGACTCTGGGATCTGCAGGTTTGTGTGTTTGGGTGGGTGGGTGGGTGTGTGTGTGTGAGAGAGAGAGAGGGCGAGCACAATTTGCGTGACGATCTGGGAAACGCGGATATGGGTTGAGAGAGTTGGGTTTGGTTTTATGTAACTAGGTTGGTTTATTATACCTGTTCAAGCCCAAACGTATTAGTGTCCAATTGTTAATGGGCATGGGCTTCTTTTCATTGATCTCTCAACCCAAGCATCTTTGCAGCCTTTGTGTACCCACCACTAAAACAAGGGTTGCTAACACTATAATATTTTTATTGGTATAATATTTTTATTTTTTAATTTTTGGTTTATTATAATATTTTTATTGGTATATATATTGAGAAAATAAAATACAAAAAAATATGAAAAAGCAACCTAAATAAGTAGTGATGCAAACTATTATGAAAAAATAAAAAAAATAAGAGGAAGCAATAAATTAAAAGAAGAGAATTGTTTCAATTTTTCAAAAATTAAAAATAAAATAAAATAAAATTCCGATTACTTTCATTCCACTTTGCAAAACATACATCAGTATTACTAAAATGAAATAAGAGTTTTTTAATTTTTTGAGAGTTTGGTTAGATGGAAAGTAAAAATTTTGAAAAATAAAATAGAATTTCAAAATATTTCTCCACAAAAACTATTATTTTACGTGCATGAAACGTATGTTGCAAAAACTGTCATTTTATTTCTAAGTTTCCTACAAAGTATTCCATCTTCCCTCAGATTCTTTGTGATTAAGTCAGACTCTTATAGCCTTTCTACTACATCATAATCATAAGTTATACTTCCATTCATATGTCCGTTCAAACATTTAACTTGAATTACCTCGTTAACTTTTAAATTTGTATAACATTTCGAATATAAAGTAAAAATTGAACAGTAGAATGTTAAATGATATATTGTCACCAATATCTCAATAGAAATATGAACAAAACAAAGATAGATTGAAATAACCGTATTATATATATAAAATGTAAAAATTTCTTTTGGATGGAATCAATATAATATCTATTTTTTATTATCTATATAGCTTTGTAACTGGATAGAATTTTATGCTCCAACCATGAATGATTTTTGTAAATAAAATTTTGCATAGAAGTGGCTCAAAGTAAAAAATAAAAATAAAATAAATAAATAGTAAAAAAGGGATTGATAAGTATTATGCATGAATAATAAAATATGTTACTTTTGCACGATTATTTTTAGTCCAGAGTATATAGCCCTTTAGTGTTTCTCCCGAGGCTTAAAAAATAATATATTTAACATTCCAGCAAGAATAAGAATATGAATATGTTATGATAAGTAAACTACATTTTACCTATGAATATAAATAATTATTATTGAAAAGACAAAATAAAAAGAATCTGGTAACTAAAATTCAGTCATCCTTAATTTGTTCTAATTTGAATATGAATATAAATAATAATAAGTATTCTTAATAATCCATCATTTTACTATTTATTTGTTAAAAATAATATAAATAATTGGGTATAAAGAGGACTCACCTAGCACACAAATTATTTATTTTTTAGTATTTGAAATCATGGGTAGTTTTGATAAATAACTCATTTTCTTTTTCCTTTCATGCTATTAAAACTAACAATATAATATTTGTCCACAACTTTCTTTAAAAAAAAATTCCTGCTAACCAAGTGTATACGGAAAACTTAATTTTATGTTTTTTCACTTGACTTTCTTTCAATTTCACTTTCCATAAACAGACGGACCCTAAGGCTAGTTCCGTTTGGGTAGATGGAAATAGTAAGAAAATAATGGAAATGGAAACTGAAATGAAAAGTGAAGTAAATGAAAAGAAAATTGATTTTCTAGTATATATTTGGTTAAGATTAAAATTTATCCAATAAAATTGTATAAAAATATCATGTTATAGTTAGATACCTAAATTGTTCTTATTTTATAAAAATGGAAAAATAATAAAAAATTAATTTAAACCTTGTAAATTACTATTTATTTCATTTGATAAAAAGCAACTAAAAAAGTTGTTATTAGACTGTAATTCTTTGAAACCTAGTAAAAAAATTACGATAAAATTGTTGTGTAAAATAATGCAATGAAATTGTTGGGTAACACAGTAACACAAAATAAAAAGATGTTGCTTTCATGTGAATATATAAATTTCCCGTGTTTTATGCTGAAAACGTTTTGAGGAAAATAGAGGGTTGCGAAAATCTTAGGACCTGCTTAGTTTGTAATTTTGAGAACAATTTTATATTTTTAAATAACTGGGGAAAAAAATTTGAACAAAAAACTCGTTTGGTTCAATTTTCTGAAAACTCAGGTATAGAAAGGTCTGTTTTCATAGAACAACCTTTTATAATTCTCTGAAAACAAATTTATGTTTTTTAAATTATTAAAAGTTTTTTAAGAATTACAAATCAAGCATACCCTTTAATTTTTCAGTGTTTTTCCTTTCTTTTCTAGTTAGTTATATTTAACCAATCGGAGCCCACGAGAAAATGTAGCATTTTAACGCATAGAATTTCACAATCTGAACGAAACACAAAATTGAGAAGTGCTTTACTAACTTATATAAGGAGTAAGTATATAATTTGCCATCTAACAAGTGACAACTAATATTAGGATATACGATAAAATTATTGTTGCTTGAGTTATTGTTATATGGATCTCACAATTAATATTTTAGAGCCTGCAAACAAACTTTTTACAACTGAGTTTTAAGAAAACAGTTTTAAAAAAATTGAACCAAGCAGAAATTTTATACAGTTATCTGATTTTCAATTATTGTTTTACGAGTGACAAATCAAACAAAAAATTATTTTACGAGTGACAAATCAAACAGGCCAAGTTTTCGTATTATTTCAAAGACAAGTGTTGAAGGTTCATGAATATATTAGTTATTTCTTATAATGATCAACCCCTCGTTTGGGGATTTGTGCTTAGTAATAATAATAAATAAATTATTATAAATCGCAATAAGTTAAGGGAGTTTATGCAATTATTATTATTATTATTTTTTTAAAGGTGAAGGTAATTGAAGTTGTAATGACTAAACTTAACAAACCTTGTGCATGATCCAAAAAGAAAGGAATAATTTTTGTAGTTCTATAACTTCTTGGACATTGCACAACTATTTCACATATATAAGTGGAGGTAATAGTTGGACTTTTACAGTAGACTCGTGCATAAAGAAATTTTAAAACGAATATATTTATTTTTAGCAAATGATATATCATTGTATCTTTGCATGCTAAAATTACAAAAACTAAAAAATAAAAAATACTAGTAATTCTTTATTTGTTTTATTACATCTTCTTTCTATAGAATTCATATGAAATGCCAGTTAGACAAACATAACAGTCAAAATGTAAAAAGAATGTATGAATGAGCAAGATTGGCACACCAGTAGGACTCACACATGATTCATGTGGAAGAACCACACTACGGAAATGAATGTTGATACCAAATTAGAGGAAATGACTTTTGTAGCAAGAGTATTAACAACAAATTATAAGAAATTATGTGAGGGTAAAAGAATAGTTATTTTGTAATATCATTTTGAATACTATAGAATTTTCTATCTAATGAATTTATTTGAGCGTTCTTATTATATTATTTGAAATATTTTTCTTATTATATTATTTGAAATATTTGAGGAAACTAATAATAAAATACCAACCCAAATAGATTGAATTCTGGAAGATGATTGACCCGCAACCACACGCAATAAAATCTCTTCTAATTCCTCACATTACATTGATTATAACTTCAACTTTATCTTGAGGATGGATCACTTGGATTCAAAAAGGTTTATCTCCTTTTGTAGTGCACGAGAAATGTTCAAGGTACAGGGTTATTGAATATAAGGGACTTATTGTCTTGTTTGGACTTGCCTTTAGTTTTTGCCTATAATTAGACTAGGTTGTTTTGTATTGGCATGCCTTTTGTAGCTATAATGTTTTGTATATTACTTCTTATCGATACAATACTTTTTAAGTTCAGACAAAATACATATATATATATATATAATGCAGAATATTGTTAATAATTTTCTTGATTTATCAAATCAATAGTGATATGCACCTCGATATTTGTACTTGCACAAGAATAATACAAATATCAAACACAATTTTATGATTTATATAATATATTACATCATAGTTATAACTTGACATAGAAAAGTAAATGAAGCCTGTAAATAAGACCACTCAAAAAAACTGATAATTCATGTTATTCATGATGGGTTGACACTGTTTCAAACCATTATGGTCCATCCAAATATGATTTGGGTCTAATTTTAAAAATAAAAAGATGGGTAAAGTGCAAAATGCTTCTTAAATTATTGCTCTTTTGCAAATAACTCCCTGAATTACAAATTATCCCCTGAATTATTAATTTGTTGCAATTAAAGACAAATTCATCACAAAAGACTATTTTACCCTTTATCATTAAATTTGTCATTATATTATATTATTTTATTTATCATATCTAAATATTAATTATACCATTTACCTTAATTTTATTATTATTATCAATTTATCATAAAAATGAAAGGAAAGAAAAAAATCTGTAACTACCATTTTCAAAAATAATTAACTTATTATTATAATTTTACAATTTATAATAAAAATTATTATACTCAATTTTAAAAAAATTATTGAAAAAAATACCTTATTTTAGACACAATATATTCATGAAAAATTATAAATTGCTTAAATAAAAAATACATTCTTTATGCAATATATTCATGAAAAATTAAGAAACTACTTAAATTGTTTTTTTTTTTTAATTACTTAAGATTTTTATTTAAATAATTAATTTTAAAAATTAAAGGTAAATTAATGCAAATTTAATGGAGAATTTATCAAATTAATATGAAATTTTTGATAATTTATTTCAATAAGAAAAATAAATTAAGGGCAATTCAATAAGAAATGACATTATAGTCTTTAATGAAAAATAGTCAAGGTATTTGGTCATTTTGTAACTAAATGTGATAGTCCAGTATTATGCACAAAATATACTTTAGGGAGTTGTTTGTAAATTCAAACATAGTTCAAGGGTTATTTTGCACTCTGTTTGGATACATAAGAGATAAAATAAAAGAAATTATGGTATTAGTTATCAGAGAAAAAAAAAAAAAAATGATATCAATAATCTCTATTTATGTTTGGATAAATAGAAGAGAAAAAAAAATAATAATAATATTATTCTTATTTGAATATGATATAGGGGAAAAAAGAATAAAGATGATAACAAAAAAACTATCCTATCATTTTAAATAGATGATATATGCGTGGAATAATAATTTACTCCTTTTAATTGTTGAGGACACTTTTAAAATCATAAAAATACTACTTAAACGCTATCATATCTCTATCTTTTATTTTCTCTCATTTTTAAAGGACTAAACACATTCCCACTATTCTTTATTTTATTCTCTCTCCCTCCAAATCTACCTTATCCAAATGTACCTTAAGGCTCAATTTGGTGCAATGGAATTAGGAGAAAAAGAAAATAAAGGTAATGGGGGTGTTAAAAAAATTGTGTTTGGTAAAAGTGGTGGGAAGGAAAGGAAAGGAGATGGATGGTTTTAGAAGGGTTGAACAAGACTTTAAACAGTTACTTTGCTATTCTCCCAAACGTGGGAGGAAATGGAAAGAAAGGAGAAGAGAGACTGGTGTAATATTTTTAATACCAAATTTATCCTTAAGACAAAATTGAAAGAGAAGAGAACGAAGAGGCTGCAAGAAATTTAATGAAGAGGAAGAGGCTGCAAGAAATTTAGCAAGTTATAAATCTCTCCTATATTGTTTTGAAGAGGAGTACCGGTCAATAGTACACATTATACGATGCTGGAAATAAAATTATATTGAGCAAGCTAAAAAGCTTACTACGTACCTTCTCTCTTTAATTTTCTTTTTCTTTTGCTTTACTTCATCATCTTTATTGGGGTTTGATTCCACCATCAAATAAAAACTCCCCTTCTTGCTGTAAGCTCTAGTCCACTATCTTATCATACTATTCCACCATGCCATGCTCATCAAATTTCCCACACATAAACATCTTTATATTGTGAGACAACATTGTTATCCTTTAATTGGTTTTAACATTCTTAGATAGACATTTCACAAATTCTCTTATGTGAAAATAGAGAGCTTGGAAACAATAATTGTTGGTAAATAATCAATTCACAAAATAATTTTGCCAAGCGTTTTTATTTTATGAAACATTTAATTTGGATCATGTTTTTTTGAAAAAATATGTTAAGTCGGTTCATCTTTTATAGATAGCATTTAATTTGACTCATTTATTGAAATAAAAAACAAACGAGACATTTTATTTTGCCTATATATAAACATGAATTCAAAAGAACAACAAAGTCGTTAATACTTATTATTTATTTTTAAATTACACACTTAATTTATAAATTTATGTTTTAAAATATAAAAGGGTATAATAATAAATTCATTAAAACAAATTTCTTTACTTTATTTCTCCAAACATGATTATTATCTTTTTTTTCATTATTCAATCAAATACAATAAGAAGTTAAAAATTATTATTTCTTTTACATTTTTTTTTTCCTTTCATTAATGTTATCCTTTCCTTTCTTTACCTTTGTACCAAACATAGCCTAAAAGATTGCACGGAACTTATCTTTCCTTGTAAATTCGAAAAGTTGTCCACTCAAGCGTACAGGGGAAGTTTCAAACTTCTTCTCATATATAAAGCCCTAAAACCGGCGCCAAATGAACACTCGTTTCTCTGAACTTCTAAGTTCATGTCTTCATCATCGTCTCATTTCTGTAAAGCTTCTTATACAATCAATACACGTCTGTAAATTGATAGAAGAGTAAATGGCAGATACACAGCCCGATTCAAATGTTTTCAGTGTTCGAATCGTCTCGATCGATTACTACATGTCCCCTCCAATTCCAGGCATCGATATTTGTTACAGTAGTTTTCAAGGTATGTTCACAATTCAAATCAATAGTCTATATCTATATATACACACATACATACATGTTAACATGTGTTGTGTGTTATAGAACTCATCTCTTGCTTTTGATTTTTCATTTATGATGAAGGAGTCTGATCAGTTCAACTTAGGGTATTCTCTCTATGACACACATACATTGCTTGTACATGTTAATATGTATTGTTTGTAAAGGAGTCTGGTCAGTTCAACTAAGGGTATTCTCTCTTTATATATGTACACACACACACGTATTTCTGCTTCATTAGGTGGGAAGGTGAACGAGGTTCCTGTAATAAGAGTATATGGTTCAACTCCGGCGGGCCAGAAGACCTGTTTGCATATTCACCGAGTAAGATCATTCGTTGCTCAGTTCATTTACTCGAAGTTAGGGTTTTATTTATTTATAACCTATCCGATGTTGATTACCATCTAGAATGGTCAATTCTGTACTTCTTCACCTATGTATTGAATTTGAGATATATTTACTCCATTTTATCTAGCAATGGCCTTTCTCCCCCATGTTTTAAACTACAAATTGCCCGTTATTGTTTCCTGCACATTTTTGTGGTATGCTTGACTATAAGTCTGGAATTATCGTTCTATTTATGGTTTGTATACTGTTACGATTTCAACAGTTGAAAATGAATAAGTTGGAGTACTTTGTCTACTGCATTAAGATTGTGAACGAGTGGTGGACTTGTATTACTGTTATTTTGGCCATTACCACATTTCTAATATTACCCTTTACTTTGTCATTGATGATTATAGACTCATTTTCTGACTTACTATGTTGTTATCGTGCTTCACGGCTTATTGCAATGCCCCCCACTCCCCTGTCCCCCCTTGAGAGAGAGAGAGAGGGAGAGAAGAAAAAATTGCTTTGGTTTATTTTTATTTGAAAGTTTTTTAGCTAAAATGATTCTCCTTGGTCTTGTAGGCTTTACCTTATTTATACGTTTCGTGTGAGGATTTATTGATTCAACCACATGAAGAAGGTATCAACATTTTTGGAATTAGTTTCTTGGTAATTTCATATTTATAATTTTTGCCTGGTTCAGTGATTGAGTTTCAGGACCACTTGCACGAGTTTGAGTCTCAGAGCATCCATTTTGTGATAATAACGAAGGTTTGGTCTGTCTTGAGTCATTCCTCCTCAAGATCACATTGACTAGAACTGGAAAATGTCCTTTTTGTCTTTGTAATGGATGAAAAGGGATATATGATGTTATTATTTTATTTCAATTATCAGACATGTCACAGTAAGCAGTTTATTTTACTTTTCCTTCGTCGGTTTCTTGTACTTCTCAATAAGAGTAGGATTATGGCAGTTAGTAAAAGGTGTGATTGAATTATGTGCATCAAACCTCTTCCTATGTCCCTGTGCTGCACAGTTTTCTAATCTTAGTTGAACTCACATGTTGTGAATCGGTTATCATTGGTCTGAACTTATTTTTCAAACATTGATTATATGCACTGCCTAAAATAAAGTGAAATGAATAGGAAAAAAAAGTTAAATTAAATAGTAATTGATGATAATCTTTGAAGTTCCAGAATATGTTTCAAGCGGTATCGTTATTATTAGATGCAGTTTTTATCTGGGAGTTTTGAATTTGACGTGGCTGATTGTTTGTGAAGTCAATCAATATCTGATTACAATGCTATTATGTTGCCTCCGTTTTTGTGAAGCTTATGGATTCTTATGTGGTGCATTTGCTTGTTAAATCTACAACGGTTTGGGATGACCTATATGTAATATAATTCTTGATTCATGTATTCTGCTATGGAAAGGGGTAATCAAGAGATTGGACATTCAGATTTTGAATGATTATTCTTTCTCTGCTTTATCAGTGTGATCCCATTCGAATTTCACTGGCCAAAATTTTGGCATGTTCTTCCATTTTATCAAAGCTGGAAATGGTGACACAAAGAAGTTACTTTACTGTTTTTGACATACAAGGTCTTTATCTATTATTTTTTGTGAATGTAGAAGTGCTACTGTTTTAATAGCTTGTTAATTGACCATTGTTTTATTGCATGCTACATCTGTCTCTATTAGTAGTTATTATGCATACAGTGTTTGATATTGCTTGATTTTCCTGCATCTGTTTTCCTTCCTAGCTGTTGGTTTATATTCACTTTTTATTTTTTATTTTTTATTAGGTGATAGGTGCACACATTTGATATCTCTTGCTGCTGAGAAAGCGTTGAAGGTGCGCTTGGTTCATGAAAATTGACTTTTGGTGTCTTTTTTTCGTACATGGCTGCAAATGTGCATATTTCTGGTTGTACTTTTCCTTTGAATTCTTACAGCTTAAAGGAAATGCTGGTTCAAAACGACAACATGTGCATGGTTGCAGTCTTGTCCGGGCAAGGAAGATTTATGGTTATCATTCATCAGAAGAGCTTTTTGCGAAGATATACCTGTATCCTATGTTGGATCTTCTATTTGCATGTGTTTGTTGAGGGTGGGGACAAGGTGATGGGGCAGTGTGAGGCATGGTATCTTGTATACTTGATATGTTTCCGCAGATACCATTTTGGTTTACCAATTTCTCATGGTTGATAGAATGAAAGTTTGTTGCAATGACAAATTTGTCCTTTTACTAAAATTATCCTTTAAGACGACACTAAAACAATTAATATAGGATGGCTTGGTGCATGTTATTTTTATCTGTGGACATACGTTATTATTTTTTTACCATAGAAATCTAGTTTATTTCTCTACAACAATCCCATTTCTAATTCATCTGTAAATGGACAACTGTCAAGCAGAATCCACTTTATCCATTATTGACGAAGTCCAAGAAATTGAGCATGCAATGAATTGCATTTATCTGCGCCTTAGCATTTAGATTCTCATTGTCTAAGTTCCAATAAATTTAAGTTCATGATTGTTTAATTTTTTTTACCTCAATGCAATTTGAAACAACAGCAGTTTCAAGCCTGCAATCATGTTGAGACTCTGCTCAACTAAAAGGAAATATGTTTTGCAGACTATATATTTAAGTACCACAGTTTTCTGTCAATTGCATTAGCTTTATGTATCGTTGTGGAAGTAACGGTTTTACTCTTTTCCCTAGTGATGCCTGCAAAGTTGTGATTTTACACCACTTCTTGTATGTTGTTTTATGGGCCAATTTGTAGGATAAATCTTTCCTGTACTGCTGGCCAAAATATGTACAACGCAATTCTGCTCTTCTTTACCTTGAAAGCGTCTCAAATATCTTCACACATTTTCGGAGCAAATTTTTAGCAAGAGTAATGTGTTCTTACATATCCTCTAGTTCTGGATTTTCTTTTTGATGCATGCTTTTAATTTTGTTGTTCCACTGGAATTGCTTTGAAACGATAGGCCATTTATGAAGAGTTTGTTTATCTTTTCCATTTATTAGTGCTTGTTGGATGTGTACCAAGCTGGTTGATGTTTTAGATCTGTTGCATTTTACTACAGTTCATTTTGGCTGCAGATAGTATGCTAATAATGTGAGGTTGGTTATTAGTATTTTCATCTTTTGTTTTTTGGCAATTATAATGTTCTGGAAATATGCTGTAGAAAACCTTAACAGAAATTTAAGCTATCATCCTCACGATGTCTCTCGTGCTGCCAATCTTCTACTGGTACACATTCTCTATTATCGCACAATTGTCAACAGTTGTTTGAAATAAATTTGTAGTTACCTTTTTTTTTTTTTTAATAAAATATAATGCAATATAAAGGTGATAATACTTTCTTAAATACATTGTTTGTGTTGAAAGATATAAAAATTGAAGAGAGAAATAGAAAATGAAGAACACAAGGATATAACGTGGTTCAGCCACTAGGGCTTACATCCGCAGCACAAAGAGCCCAAAGGGCTACACCACTCTTATTATATACTCTTTTAAGATTGTTTACAATGAGCACCTCTATTTATAGGTGAAAGAATACAAGTGATAAATATGGCAAATACATTGATGGAGGATTCCTAAAATCAATCCCATAAATCACTTCAATCAATAATCTATCATAGCCTAAAATTACTCTTATAATATTCTCAAACAGCTTGTATTATTTTACTTTCTTAGTTCTCGCTTCTGAAATAAAATATTAGAGAAGAAGAGGCATTAGTATGCATACCTTGGAATATTAGTCACAATTTTGACCGTTCAGGCATTTACTTCCCGCCCTCACCAAATTAATTTTTACCTCTGAATATGGCTCTGCAATAGTTGGGTTACTGTGCCCTTTGCAGGTTATATTGATTCAACTGTTGTTTATTGATCTTTTTTGTTACCCAAACATTCAAGAGTGATAGTAGGTTAGAGAATGTCTTTGGATGACGGGTTTGCTCTGCTTCATAACAAAGAGGAGAAGATGGGGTGTTCTTATTTGTGAATTTCCGAGACATGTTTTAGTTGTCGATATTTGGTCCATGCTAGTTGAGCTGGGTGGCGTATCTTTGCTAGGACATGTTTTTTTATAAACCAACTGGTACTGACTCTTTTTGTTGTTTTATATATATATATTAAAAATGTGTTATTTATTTATTTTATATATATATATATATATATTAGAAATGTGTTTTAAATACTCTGGAGTTTGTGTTTTGTCACATCGTGAACTCTAATATGCTGCATTTCTAGTATAATATCATAGCATAATTGCTAGGAAAAACACAGCAAGGGTTTTAAAGTTGATATGTAATGAGATATATATTTTTCATGTCCAATTTAGTTTAAAGTCTAATTTATGCGAACTGTTAACTTTTTCATGCGATTTTTAATCAAGTAAGAAAACATAATATTTGATCTTTCCATAAAATACTTATCTGTGATAATCTTTTAGAAGGGAACATTATATAAATTGAAACCTGAAACACCCTTGCATGTCTGCCACATATTTGACCAAAAATACCCTTGCACGAGTGTGATGGGTGGGTTTTTGATTATGCAGGTTTACATGATATGTTTTACTAAACAAGTCAATTCTATTCATCGGTTTGTCTTGTTTATGACATGAACCGGTTTAAACTCGATCTAATACCTTGATATCTGATTCTTGTTTGATGCATATCTCTGTTTTGTGTCAGAAATTGCACCTTTAGTTTAGATAAAATCTCCACATTCTGTTTAGTTAATTTTCTTTATTCTTATAACCGTTTTATACATTTGGTGCCTTAAATTTACATACTTAAACACATATTGCAATCTAGACTCCTAAACATGCTGAATACTTGTCAGTCAACAGATGGATCTTTTTTCTTGCCTTATTTTTTGTGTTCTTTCCAGAATGGTGATTGTTACAGTTCTTTTATTTTTATTTTTTACTTGTTTGGCAGGGAGGTGAAATCCTAGACAAAAGTTTACAGCCCCATGAATCACATATTCCTTTTCTTCTCCAGTTCCTGGTTAGTATACTTTGGTTTGTAATGGGATTCATTTAGTGTCCTATGATACTAAAACTGAAAGGCAGTACAGATATTTTTTATATTTCTGGTCATAAATATGTAATATTTTTTATGATTTACGTATGATTTTGTCATGTCCACCTCCATTCTATCCATTTTTCTGCCGCAGTTGGTGGGATTGGAAATCAATGCTCTCCCCCTTGTTTTTTTAGATTGAATTTCTTGTTGTCCAGTTAGGGGATGCCCTTCTTCTGATCCTTGTACACTAATGTTCTATTATTGTACTAATAAAATTATACCCATTCGGGGGGATTTTTTTTTTTGAAAATTGAAAACTATTTAGGTAGTTATGGTTTCAAAGACGTTTTCAGTCCCTATAGCTCTAATTTTGAACCATGCGTACTCTGATCTAGGGTGACGGTCTTCCCTTCGGGGAGGAATAGGCAAAGGGTTCAATCACACTTAATTGATTCGGATATGGCGTGTTCCTGATCCTTGTGGGGGAGTTGTGAGTCAGAAGACAAGGAGTGTTCAATCAATCTCTGCTTCAAGAAATGGTTGTGGAGATCTGCTATTGAGCTGGATAAGTATTGGATGGGAGTTGGACTATGAATTTTGGGGCTTGGGTGTGATTAGACTATGGCAGAGATGAATAGCTCATGTCTTAGTATACGGGTAGATATTTGGAAAATTTATTTGAAAAAAATTGTGCTAGATATTTAAATATGTCCACCTTGTCAAGAGCAATTGCTAGGGTTAGATTTTGGCATGATAAAGTGCGTGGGAGTCTAATTGCAATAATATTTTCCCTAATATACGGAATTATGGTAGATACAACTGATTTTGCGGATTATTAAGTTATATGAATGGTTGGTAACGTTGGTTGAATGATTTGGGGCATAGTTTCAAGTTTTTAGATATGTAATATGGAGTTGATAGCTTGAGTCGAGGAGAGAATGAGATTCCTCCTCTGAAGAATGGGTGTCTTGAGGTGAATACGTGTTGGAGGTTGTTGGCTCTTTTGTGCTTCCTTCCCTTTGGAATGTTTTTTTGGGACCGGATTGCTAGAATTCCTTGCAAGGATGCATGCATTATGTGGATGGTAGCATACATAAAGATCCTTGTGAGTCATGATTGATAAGTTGATTAGAATCCTTTTTTGTGTTGCATATATAAAGAGGCCGGAGGCCTATTTGTAGGGCTGTAAACGAGCCGAGTAGTAGGTTGTTTGGGCTCAGCTCGGCTATTAGAGTAGGGTGTTTGAGCTCGGCTCGAAGAGGTTCACGACCTATTCGTGCCGAGCTCGAAGCTTGTTAAAGATTAAAGCATATATTTGACGCATCATATATATATATATATATCTATATATATATATATTGTGGTGTAAAGAGTCACTACAGACCACAGAGATTTACAAATAACTCAGATGTATTCAAAATTAGCTTGTAAGTGACTAATTCTTGTGGGTGTGAAATTGTCCCTGCAATTCTTTTCTGCTGGAAGTGATTACGAGAGAGAAACCTGGTAGAAAATTAGATTTGTGGTGGTAGTCAGATTAGGAAGTAACGACCATGCTTGAGCGGAATAGAAGATGAATAGATTAGGGTTAAAGTTCATATAACCATTTTCGTCGTCCTCCCATGCCACAGAGATTATGCAGAGGATTGAGTGAGAGAAGCGTAAGGGATGGAAAGAGGAGCAGCAGCTGCCCTGCGGCGGCTAGGTTGGGATGAAATGAGGGGCTAGGGTTGAGATGAGATGAGGGTTAAAGCATTTATATAGATGGGCTTTAAGATATGGGCTGGGGTTTGGGTTGTTTTAATTTGATTGGGTTTGGTCTATTTAATTTTTAGAATGGTTGGCATTACATTTATATGGATTGGGCTGGATTGGGTTGGGTTTGGATGAACTAAAACTTTTAAATGAAAAGGAAAAGGTAAGGCCCAAACTTATGAAGATATAATATATATGTGTGTATATACATATATACATATTTACGAGTTTAAATCGAGCATATTAGCGAGCTTCTTCACGAACTCGTTCACGAATTAATGAGCTGAGTATAGGGGTGTTTGAGATTGGTTCATTTATTAATCATTCACATAAATTTTGTTTGGGCTTGGTTCGTTTATTAAACAAACGAACACGAACCAAGCCCTTAATGAGCTGAGCCCGAGGCCCCGAGCTGCTTGTTGAAAGCTTGGCTCGTTTGCATCCCTACCTATTTGTAATTAGCTTTATTCATTGTAGTTGCCGGGATTTCAGTGTTGGCTATATTTGGCATGTCATGGTTTTCCCAGATCTGGGCTATTCCTTGTGGCTTTTCTGGATTTATGTGTAGGGGCTTATAATATTACACTGTAGATGACATGTGTACATCGGTTGCCCTTCCTTGGCACTTTAGTGATCTTCTTACTTACTAAAAAGAAAGGTATTCATTGTGTATTGTCATGACATGTTAACATGGATGAGGTCGGGGGTCAATTTTATCAGGGTGCCTAAGTTTAATCTGCATATGGAAGTTAATGTTGGCATTTTTCTGGGGTTTGTTAAGCTGATTGGGGAAGGATGAATAATGGCATGGAAAACACATTTTTATTTGTTTTTGGTGGTTTAATGCTGTGTATTGAGTATGTCTCGCTGCTAGTGCTGGAAGAGCACTTTTCTGTAAGAGTTTGCTGTAAGGACCAAGTATCCATGTAAAAATTACCTTGTGTATTAGGACAGATGGAAAATTACATTCATTTAAGTACTTCTCGTTTGAAAAGTATTCTAATATTCATCCAAGAAATTCTTAATCTAAAATACATGATATTTGTAAAACTTTTTTCCCCCCTTAAAGACTGTGCTATTAGCAATGCTAATGGATAAATATATGATCAATATATTTATCCAGCTTGAGACTACTGAAGATACTGTAGCTTCATTCCCATTCCCCCCCCCCCCCCCCCCCCCCCTCTTCCTCTTTTGTTATGTGTGTGTGTGTTTTTTTTTTTTTTAAAGTTTATCTGCTGTGAAAGGATATCATAGTTGTCAAATGTTAATACAAATTGGTTGTGATGCACTAGCACCTTTAAACTCAACATGGAATATACGTTGGAGGACCTGTTAGTTGCCTCCTGTTGAGAGGAACGAAGAAATTGTTAATAATATCATATCAATGGTGGAAATCATGATATCTGCCAGGATTACAGTTGAAAGTGGTTATGTGAAGTCGTGGATTTTGGAATTCCCAAGTTTGACATGATACCATTAATTACTGGTTCCAATTTTTTACTCTGTTTTGGTCATGAGTGTGCATCTTCAATTACTAAGTGACCGTTGACTATTGAGTCATCCAATTTTTATGGTATGCTTAACTGTCAACCTATCTTTTCTTATGTCATGAAAGATCGGTCCTTTTCCTGATGCTAAAATTATTAGGTTGACTATAACTTGTATGGGATGGGTCTTCTGCATGCATCGTCTATCAAGTTCCGCCATCCAGTGCCAAATGCTCTCTCCAGAAGGAAGGGTACTTACAATGGACAACAGGGACTGGGTGCAGGTAAACTATTTCCATATCTGCACATTTTGTCAGGTCGTCTCTCTCTCTCTTTTTCATTTAAGATCTTGGAGAATAACCAGAGATGATACCTAACGCTTATCATGGGAAGTTATATGATTGTAACTTTTTATTAGGCAGAGTCAAGTGGCAATGCATGTTTAGGTTCACCAGTTTGGATATCATCAACAATTCCAGATGGATGGGCGTGGCACTTTTCTACTCAACCTGATGCTTCTTCGGATCAGAACATTCACCTTGTTAGACGTCAAAGTACTTGTGAACTTGAGGGAGACACTACAGTTGACGGTTGGTTTGATGTTTATTGTGCAAGTTTTTTCTTTCTCCATGGTCTTGTAGCTAAATTGATTGTGCATTTGTGATTTCTGTAGAGATCCTTAATCAGCAGTTTAAAATGTACTCATCCCTCTCACAAACCTGTTCAGACGTCAAAATGGTTCAGTCACTAATTCCAATTTGGGAGGTTTGCTTTCATCCCATGTACATGCTTTTGTTTGTGCACTTCAATGATTTTGGCATCTCTATGGTGTAACTTTACCTACCATGTCATAGGAATATGAAGGGTCTGGGATACATGAAGCAGCTATACATTATGACCCTGGAAAGCCACATCCACAAGATGTTTTGAAGACTTTCTCACATGGGCTGGAATTTGTGAATAAACTTACGGAACTATGCAGTGAAGCAGAAAATTCTTCTTCCTGTAACCCATTTGAGAAAGATGCTAGTCCCGTGCCATCAATAAGATCTTCAACTGATGGAGGAAATATGTTTGGACTAGGGATTGTGCACTCTAAAAGTGACTGTGGAGAACCTTCAAAAGGTTTCAAAGTTAGTTCTGGAACAGCATCTATGTTGTCACAACGTTTGGCTTGTGAAGAGATATCTGATGAGGGGGGCAATTTTTGTCTTGAACAGATTCTTGTTCCTGATATGCAAACATCTGAGGAAATTAGAAGTTCAAATTTGAAGGTAATTCATCATGGTGTTTTACGCAACTTTCTAGTTGTTACTTCATGTTGCCTTTCGGTTTTGAGAAGAACTTTATTTCCTTGTCTGTGTGGCTTGGCTGGGTGCTTGGTAGGGTATTGGAACATCAAAACTTCTGTGTAGCATGTTCAATTTCTCTAGGTTACTTGTTTTGTCTGCTCTAAATGATTGTTCAAAAGCAATTTTGTGGTTTAGTTGTTCCTTGGTTTTATACGCATCAATGTGTATTGAGGTTCCAATAATTTGTATTTCTGATTAATTGCAAGATTTATTAAATGAAATATGCATATATGTGATGGAAAATTGTGAAAACCTATGAGAGGATATTATTAGTGACTTCTTACTAGATGTTGGATGAACCGCTTGCGGAAGTAGGAACCTAAGGTTGCAAATAGAAATCTTTATTTCACACTTTTGACATGTCCCTCTAACTGTAAATTAAGATATGATGCAATGCATATTATCTTTATGTTTCTATTATTGCTTATATTTCAAATGGCAAATAATGTAATTACCGATCTTTAATTCTTTATGTTTCTATTATTGCTTATATTTCAAATGTCAAATAATGTGATTACTGAATAAGCATTGATATGTTAATTAATATTGAAGTTTTGATTTCCATCTATATGATAAGTGGTTGTTACTACTAGGGTGTTTTTTTTTTTTTTTTTTTTTTTTTTTTTTCCGTGGGTTCTTTGCTCGCAATTGTGAGTTGGTATTCTCGTTTTACCATTTTAATTTTTTTCCCACTGTAGTAGGATAGCCAATTTACAAATATCTGCCATCAAATATGATAGCTATTACCTGGAGTTCTTTGCCTGCACTTGTGGTTGGTATTCTTGTTTTGCCAGTTTAACTTTAATCCGGTTGCTGCATGATAGCCATTTTATAATTTTTTTTTTTTAATAACTTTAAGAGCTAAGCTCGACATAATTTATCATATTGAGAATACCCCTGCTGCAGATTGACTTGAAGTTTCACTTATCGAAGAAAAGAAAAGGCTTGATATTTCAGGGCTGCTCTGCTATATACACGCACACTATATTTCCACGCTGAATAGCTCTTCTATTTTCATGCTGCAGTAACTTCAAAGCTGAGCTAAGATTTAGTTTTTAATCATCAAAATATCAAGTTCTTAAAAAAGGTGTTCAGATATATGTAAGATCAAGGTTTATCTTAAAAGGGATAGGTTTTTTAACAGTGTTAATAGAAATGAATTGTATCTCGATATTTGGTTCTTGTACCCCACCTATTTTTGTCCTCTACGGAATGATGCTTATTATTTTAGCCAAGACATTATATTTCTGTTCCAGAGTTTTGTTTTGTGGTCTTTCATGGAGCTATTTTTGTACAATATATCAATTTACCAGCTGTTGGCAGTAGATGTAGTTCATTTGCCTGACTTTTATGAAGCTGATACTGGCCTTACTTGTAGTTTTGTAGCTGTGCTACTTTGTTGTGCGTCCATTTTGGTTGTTATTTGTTAATTAATTATTATAAGGGTGACATTTTTATCCTTAGTAGTGTTGTTATTTGTTAATTAATTATTGTAATGGTGATATTTTTATCCTTGGTATTGACTAGAGTAGTAACTATTTTATTGTGCATCCATTGCTTAGTGCACTGGTGAAATGCCTGCATTATAAAGTGTCATAATGTGGGTTCAAATCCTAAGAGCAGTCACTTTATGCAGATAATGCCAAAAGTTAGCTCTGTATCCAGTCCACCCCTCCAAGTCTCAAATCTCAACACCCTCAATTAATGAGACCACACTGGTTAATTACCCTTTATGTTTGATCTATATCACGTGGACTCTTCAGAATGTGGGCAGTATCCTTGTTCGACATATATAGCATTGTATGTGTATGTGAGATACGTGTTAAGCATGGTTAGATATCGAATCTGCAAGCATGTTTCATCTCGTACGTAGTTTTGCAAGTTTTTTATTAGTTACATTTTTCCTTTACTAATTGAATTTCACAAAAGTGAATCTGATGAATGTTAGTAGATGCCTTTGTTTCTTTGAGGGTATTATGGACCATTGTAGCTTTGTTCAATTATGAAAGTGTTTCTATATTCCTCATCTGCTACTGGGTGAATTGGGATCTTCTTGAAGTTGTTAGGCCTTAGGTTTTAGTTATGCATACTGTTGTAGCTATCTCTCTATACATCTGTTTTTCTGTAATTTTCTTTTTCATTCTTGGTTCTATTATTTTCTTTTTGTTTAGATTGCGGATAAGGAAGGTTTGGGACTTCTAAGGTGGCTTGCCTCTTCTCAAGCTGCAGATGATATAAACTCTGATGATGAACTTGTCTGTGAGCCTATTTTGAGTCCCTTGTTGCCTGCAGCGACCATTGACAAGGTGTTGGAGAAAGCTAATCTGGATTATGAGAGTGAATCACAACAAGAGTGTCAGGACATTCTTGATTCAATCGAGGATTCAACTAACCTTGAAGTGTTAAATAAAAAAGCTTCTTGTTCCACAGATCCTAGCTATGCCTATCAAACTTCACCGATGAAAACAATTGCACAACTGGATGGCTTTTCTAATGATCAAAATCCAGTTACTAATGTTGGTAGATCCCCTAAACTGGAGATAAACATTGAATTGGGGAGGCTTTCTCAAGACCTGGTGCAGAAAGAAACCAGCTCAAGCTTTGTAAATAAACACAAAAGGAAGAAACCATTGTGGGGTTCCTTGCCCTTTTCCTTGACCAAAAAGCGTAATGATGATATTCAACCTGTCTGTACAAACATGAGTGATAGAAGTGGCAGTGAAACCAAAGATGGTTCAATTACTAGTTGTCAGGCTGAGGCAGACAAATGTTGTGATGATTCAGTTAGCAATGCAGACAGGAATCCTGATTCAAATGATGCAAGTGCGTTAGTTGGATGCTCTGTGCGGGACTTGATGAGGAGAAAGCGATGCTACCGTATCGAGACTCCTGAATCCAAGTCTCGAAGAGTTGAAAAGACTTCTTCAGAAGAGGAACAGAAAGAAGTCCCATTTTCCTTAAAAAAACGTTTAGAATTTCCAACACCATGGAATGATGGCCAAGACAAGAGGCCTCTTGAATGTGCCTATTCCTGTCCTTCACTTGCTGGTGAGCTTATCAAATTTAATGAGTGGAATCCACGTGTTACAACTTCTTCACTGGAGGGGTGTGGCGAGGCTTGTGATGTCAAAGCTGCCTATTCTAGTTATTCTGCACATGACAAACTACCTCTTTCCTCTAGCAATCCTGGCTCTTCATGGGTTAATACATCTAGAGACGGATGTGTTGATTCTTGTGGAGTTGATGATGAGGCCGGCATACAAAGAAAAGCCGGTTCTGGGAACTTCATAATTACAGGTCTCCCTCCATTGAATACAGGAACTAAAGAATTACCACAGTTCCTTAACACTGATTGTCGAAATTCTCTAGCATCCTTGGGCCATTGTGAGAATGATAGTCATACACAGTCGGACTCTCTTGTAAATTGTATAGAACCTGTAACTTCTGATGTATATATTTCCAATCCCAATCCATTTGTTTCAATGTTGAAGTTTAACACTGATGATAATCTTTTGGCTAGTGAGAGGTTGCTGCAAAGAGATACAACTACTACAAGATGTTTATCGAAATCTGTTGAAAGCGAAGTTTTAGTTAGAGATGATTACGTCTGCAAAAATGCCTATGAGAGGAGAACTTCGACGCATAGAATAGATGAGATGTCTCCTGAATATTTTGAAGGCATGGAGGCCGTGACCATTGCAACTTTTTTACAATTTGAAAATTGTGGTGGTGAACAACATGGTGGAGCTACTGGTTTATCATGTTCTGACATGGAAGCAAAACCTGGAGACCTTGTCGGCATGACTTTTTATAAGAAACCGCCAAAAATAGACTTGGCAGATGGGACATCTGAAAATGCTTCAATGCCCTCGACTTTACCTAATCGTGCTTCTCTACCGGGCATGGAAAATAATGAAGGATTATCAGGTTGCTATTCTAATTATATGAATATATTTTTAGATGATTTGATCTTGCTCTATATGTACGTTATGTAGAAGCTGATACAGTTTTGATGTCCTTCCCTGCAATCCCACATTGTCAATTCACATACACTAACATGCTTTTACAAACACACACGATTCTTTCTCATGTAGATGATATATTTAATTCCACATTTTTATTTTTTTGTTATTATCTTGAATTTGCTGGAAATCAAGAATGTAAGATTTTTTTGGCATAATTAGAAGATACAGTGCTAGTCAATTTGGTGTTAGAGACAGACATTTTTTAAGAACAGTCTACCTTCTCATGTCAAAGGGTGGTGCAGCTTGACCTGTGGTTCATGATTGGAGTATTGGACTGTGCTTTCAGTGAACTTGAGTGCCACAGTCTTGGGAAAGGGAAGAAAGGTAGGTTAACTTGAGCAGCATGAGCAGTGTGTGTTTAACTCCTCTAGCTAGACTGGTAGAGATAAAATGCTTTACAAACAGAGTTTTTAAGCAAGCTCTCATCCAAACTCTTAGTATTTCTAAAATTATAGTGAATATAAATGGTCTTCCGTTTTGAGATAATAGAAAACTAAAAAGGCGTATCACGCTGTATGTAAATTTCTGGCTGAAATTTTTGTTTACATAGCATGCGCATATTAGGTTGTCAAAGAAGTTTATAGTGTCATCTACTGATATGATCATTTTATAGCTTTGAAAGATGATTTCATAGATTACAGGTCAAATGAAAAACGAGCTGTATGATAATTTTATTTAGTTTCTGAATTTATATCTCCAAAAAGTGTTGTTTTGTAAGGTCGGTTGTATGTTTTTTTCTGTATGTTATGTGCTATGATTAGGAAGTTGCGATTATTAATTAGGATTCCACTGTTTTAGAAAAAGGAACAAGAGAAACATAAGAAGTACTTATGAGTTGATTGAAGGGATGACAATGGGTGTAAAATAGCAAATACTATTTCTCATCCCAATGCATTCGATACATGCACAAAAATGCCTCTTAGCAAAGCAATAGGACTAAACATGGAAAAGGTCGAGAAGGATGATTTGTCCCTCTATACTATCAGTTTGACGCACAGAGATGAACGTTCTGTGCTTTCATGTTTACTTTGAAACACGCAGCCTACACAAGTTTTCCTTTGATAAAGTGCTAGAATCTATTTGGTATTTGTTTATCAATGTTTTTACTTGTCATTGCGCAGGCAAATGATATGTCAATTTATATGGATTAATTGTTATGTTTATGTTTTCATGGGGCTTGTGAAAATTGCTCCTTATTTTCAGTTGAAGAAACTTGGACAAGACTGAATCTGCAATTGATGATGGTGGCCTTATTTTGTTCCATTTTTGGCATCAATAATATCCAATTGCATTTGCGCTTATCTCTGGCTATCTGATCTTTTTCCCCCTTCATTGTGCAGTTCGGGGAAAAGTTACAGATGAGTTACTCCCATTTTTTTGGGGGGACAGCCTGGAAGAGAAAGAAATACAGGGTAATAGCTGTACAGATAATGATTCTGATCATCATCAAGAAACTGTTGTGGGTGTTCCCACTCACTGTCAAAATGATGGCTCTTACTTATACATTCTGACATCTGCATTATCGCCCCCATCTGTAGAAAGTGTTCGTAGATGGCTTATGCAATATGATGCAGGTACCGACTGGAACTCTTAAATGAGCCTATCAGAACTTTCTGGGGTTAGCTTTTACAGCTATATATATGTATAAACTTAATACCGCATCAGTTTAGTGTTCGTCACCGAAGTGTAAAATTATTTAGTTGCTTTTGAGTGGAAGTTTAAATTCTGAAATCATGTATTAAGTACTAATGACTTCTTGTAGGCTCCTCCGGTAGTCAGTACAGTTCACAAGGTTCTCCGGCTGATACTTGTAAGAAGTGTCCACCGCAATCTAGTTCTGTATCTGACGTGAAGTCCATCCCTAATCAACTAAACCAGCAAACCCATGGAAACTCCAATGCTCAAGGTAAGCCCTCTCATAATGGGGTGACAGCCAAATGTGACGGAAATATTATGGATGTAAAAGAACACACTGATCACTCACAAGATCTCTCTCAGATATCTGGACCAGATGGGAAATCAAAATCTACTCCTTTAAGTCAAATTGGATTCAGAGATCCAGCAAGTATTGGTGGGGGGCAGCAGCTAACATTGTTAAGTATAGAGGTACTGGCGAAAGCTTTTTGGTTGTGCCATAATATCTGTGCACATTGAGGTAGTACATTTTGAATGGTATTCAACTTGTCAATGGCGCATTTTGGTTGGCTTGACTATTTTCCCCATTAATAGCTTGTTCAGCTTGTGAATTGCCCATCATTTGCTGGCATGCATTTTTTGGGTGTTCGGACGTCTCTCTTGTTCCAGAGTGAGTTTCAGGAGTTAGCACTTCGCACAAGTTCCACTTTAAAACTTTTCCTTGTTCTCCCTCTCTCTCTTTCTCTCTCTTTGTTTTTGTTTGTTTATTTTATTTGTTGCTTTTGATACAAGACCTAGAATTTAAGGGTATGGATGACATGAAGAAGGGATAAGAAATCTATCCCCTGGCTAACAACAATGTGGTAGATTTTGTTAAAGAAATACAGAATCAACAATGGGGAGAGTAGGCAGTGATTGACGGTTGCGTTCAACTATAGTTTGAGGGTGTTGGAGGGAGAATTGAATGTGGTAGAGTCTACGTGAACTATGACAAGATAATGGTGTATTCCTGTACATGTAACTAATTGGTAACTGTGAGGAAGTTGTGGAAAGTGAGAACTATTTCCAATGTAAGGTTTCATGTGATTTTCATGAATCTTAATTTATTTCGAGACACATATGTGTAAGTTCTATAATTTTTAAAAAGTATATACGACTAAATTTTTTCAATAAGTATTTCGTGCTTCATATGATTAGTATGAGAAATGTGGAAATGCATCTTCACATGGATGTTTGAGTTCTTTTCTTTTTTACATTGTAAATAACTTTTTATTTCTTTTACTCTCTCTCTCTCTCTCTCTCTCTCTTCTCTTTTCCATTTTTTTAGGATTTTCTGGCTGGCTAAAAGTCAGTATAAAATTTGTGATCCAAAGGTTAGGTTTGTCTCGAGTACTCTCTCTCAAGGACCCTGTTATAGCAAGACCAGAACTAGGTAATTGCTTTATGTATATAGATTAAAAAAATTGGTTTAAAATTATCAATAATCTAAATTGACGGGATTGTGGGAACTAAAACACACTTATCAATACATTTTGGAAGTTGCCCAGCAGGGTAAAAAATTAATGACTTCGTTTGTAACGTCCGTAATTTTATGCCCGTTTATGTCCTTTGTCCACATCACCCCGTGATAATTATGTGATTTCAGTCATTATCGATATTTAAAACCTTGCTACCCGTGGCTGACCTTTAGTAGAACTGACTTGCGACATCTGCAAGAAATAGATTGTGGTGGTTAGATCTAATGTAGAAGCAATCATAGAGATGTTGTTCATGAAATGGTTGTGAGTTAGGCTCTTATTTGTGAACTTTTAGTTCTTTATGTCGTTCCTATGTGAATGTTGCAGTGGCTATTTGGCATTTCAGTGCATTAGTATTGCTATTCTCTTCCATGGAGGGAAAAGTTTTATTGATTTTGATACAGACATTCCTAAGAATTTTGTGATAATTATAAGGCTTTTCACATGTTATACAAGAGTTTGTGGTACCTTGTATGTGTTTACCAGAGTCGAGAAATCTACCAGTTCTATGAGCTCTGTGACACAAGTGATGCTGTTGAAATCTGTGCTCCTACAGTAGGGGAAGGTCGAAAGTATTAAATAAAATTAAATACAGTTTTATTAGAATTTTAAGCATGCATTATAAAAGATCATCAGAGCTCATTTATATAGAGGAATCCACTTTTTCCCACTTCTTATTTATTTATTTATTTATTCCTGCCATAATAATAATATAATAGAATATGAATGATTGTGCTTCCATGAACTTCTTGTGAGTTGTGACTTGTGCTTGTATGTGTTTTCTAAAATTTTTGTTAGACATGACTTTGTTCTACAGTTTTTTGTGCTTGCTTGTTTAATGTCTGTCTATCAGTTTTTCGTTCTTTTTGACACTGATGTTCTTTGTAGAATTCGCATTATTGTCTCCATCAACATGCTTACCATTTTTGGATATCGGCATGTCAGTCTAATTCAACATATGTAACATTTTTGGATATTGGCCTATCGGTCTAATGAACATGTGGAACCTTGATAAAACTAGCTCTACTTCTTGAATAATTTGATACTTCTTCTGAATTCCAGCTCTGACTTGGGTGGTTTGGGGCATTACTGATTGACAGATTCAAGTGGAAACCAGAGGAGATTTACTGCCTGACCCCCTGTTTGATGCCATCAATATCATAGTTCTTGCTACTCAGGAAGATAGCGATAATATCCATGATGTTTATGTTCTTATGCGAAGTAAAAACGAATATATTCAAAGGTAATGGTGGTTTCTATCTGATGCTGAAATTCAATATTGTTCATCTTTTAACAATATTGCCTTTTATATTCACTCCATGTGTCTAAATTATACTCCCTTTGTCTCAAAGACTGGTCCATGTTTTTTTGAATGTCCCACGTAAACTGCCCGCTTAGTAAAATGAACTTACAAATTTTTGATATTTATTTCAGTGGAACTGAAAGTATTAACTAATATGACATGAGGGTCAGTTTTGGAAATTTATGCTCTTCACTTTGTGTATGTAAAATGCTCGTCTCCTTATAACCTTGGCATTTGTAAACTAGGGACTTTTCTGCGCAAGAGAGTATTGATTATGAAATTTCATGGAGTCATGATGAGATTGCAATTAAGTGATATTTTATGTTAGAATATAAATATGGTTTACTGAAGTATATTTAAATGGTTGTAATGGAAAGAGAGAGATGGAGGAAACAAAGACTATCAGCATCACACAAGTTGATTTCTTGGAATTAATTGAGGAGACAAGAAATTGTTACAGCTTCCTTAAGTTTGGAGAGTGGAATTAAATTCAGCAACAAAGCAATGTAACTTCATCGTGTATCCAAAAGATTGACATTACAACAACATAGGTTTCCTCACAGCCTATGCCATTTTCAGTCAATTTTAACCAGGGGTCACAACTTCTGTTCCCGTGAAAACTACTGCAATGTTTCCACTTCATAGTGAAACACAATGAAACATGGATTTATGGAATAACTATCTATTGGTTTTATGGAATTAATTCAGGAGATGAGAAAAAACTGCTGTTTGCGGTTTGTCATGAGTTGGTAGATCCATGCAGTGGTGTTCTAATTAATCTGCCTACTTTATTCATGGCGATTATTGCAAATTCAACACTTCCGCCCTCATTCATATGTGTTTCTGAATTGTCTTTTCTCGATTAAGGACATTAGTATGAAATTCATGATCCCGAGTATGTTTTTCTTTTTTGAGATGCTTGATGGATTGGAACATCATCTAGCAAGATATGAATGCACCCTCTTAATTTTTAAGGAGAGAACTCAAATTCAGCAACTAACAAGAGAAAATTCCCAGTAATGTTCCCACATAGTTTGCAGTTATTCTCCCAAGTTAATGTTTGGGACAGTTAAAATTTCTCCTGCTTTCTATTTATTTTTATTATATCGTTTTAGCTGCTTTTGTCTTTTAAGGAGGCTGTAGTTTGTTTACTTTCTAAAATTTACCATTGTTCTATTTTGTAGTTATAAAGCATTCACTTTCTATTATGATTAGAATTTTGTTCAGATACTACACCCTGCATATTTTCAACATTTTATTTGCTGGTTTGAGAACTTTTTCCCCTAAAAATTGAGCTCAAGTGTACTGTTTTGGCTTATGCCAACCTCATTGGTATTGGTTTTCGCTTTGTGTTTGTTTGGAATGGATGGGAATTTCTTCAATCCTCGTGCTTTCCTGTTTACAGAAATCTTGATGGGATATCTGGTTGCGAGGTGTTGGTTTCCTCTGAAGAGAAGCACTTACTCAACCAATTTATAGATATTATTTCCACTTTTGATCCGGATATATTAATTGGCTGGGATATTCAAGGTGGTTCCCTTGGATTTCTGGCTGAAAGGGCTTCACATCTTGGCATTAGTTTACTAAATAGCATATCTCGGACGCCATCTGATATGAAGGTAGCTGCTCTTGATTTGGATGTTCCTGTGAGAGGAATATCAGATATTTTACGTCCTGAACCTTTGATTTCGGATACTGTTCAAGTTGAAAATGCAGTAATTGAGGATGAATGGGGCCGAACTCATGCCAGTGGCGTCCATGTTGGTGGTAGGATTGTTCTTAACGTTTGGCGAGTGATGCGTGGTGAAATTAAGCTGAATATGTACACAGTTGAAGCTGTAGCTGAGGATGTTCTGAGGCGAAAAATTCCATCTATTCATTGCAAGGTATTGACAAAATGGTTTTCTAGTGGTCCTGGACGAGCAAGATATCGATGTATTGAATATGTTGTGGAGAGAGCTAAGTTGAACCTCGAGATAATGAATCAACTTGATATGGTATGTTCACTAACTTTTTCTAGTTGGGATTTGCATGAGGGTCTGTGCAGGCTGCCTTTGTTGCCTAATTGTTTCTTTTAGATTTTATTTGTTATTCTTTTTCTTTTCTCTTTGTCTCTGTCAAGTTTAGAGCCTTGTTTTTACACAGCTGGTCCCAAGTCTGGAAAAAGGGGAAATGGTTGCATTAGGTAGCATAACAGCCAGCGTAAAACTTTGCTAGGACCTGTATGAACATGAATCCTATGAATGTATGAGTATGGCGGTGAGACTGGATCGAAAAATAGGATTCATGTAGCCGACCCCAAGTAGTTGGAAAAAAAGCTTTCCTGAGTTGAGTATTTTTTTTCTTTCCTATATTTTTCGGGTTATGGGAGGGGGTTGGTGAGATTGCATGGCCCCCTTCAATTTTATTTATCGAAGTGGAATGAGAGTAATGAACTTTTTTGTATAAACATAAGAATAAGTGAGTGTGACTGTAATTGATTTACATTCACTGATAGTGATGGACCCATATTAGGATAATGCTGTGTGGGACTAGCTTTGGGGTGCTCAATCTTACTCCATCCTCTTTTCACCCCCAAGTAAATTTTTTAGTGGGGAAAAGAAAAAAAGGACGAAAGATGACTATTTTTCCTTGTGAAGCCTAGACTGATGAAGAATATTTTTCTTTTTGAAGATTAGGCTTTCTGGTTTTCTTTTTGTGGTGTAGTGTACTGCATCAAAGTTGGCAAGTTTTTGTATGTATTGCTTATCATACAAGAAAACTGAACCTTGCTCTCTTGTCATTTCATGAAAATCAGAAACTAGTTAGTTTTAATCTCATAGTAATTTCCTTGCTTTATTGCACAAGTACTTTGCGAGGACCGGTATGAACACGAATCCTACGAATGTATGAGTATGGCGGTGAGACTAGATTGAAAAATAGGATTCATGTAGCCGGCCCCAAGTAGTTTGAAAAAGGCTTTCTTGAGTTGAGTATTTTTTTTTTCTTTTCTATATTTTTCAGGTTATGGGAGGGGGGTTGGTGAGATCGCATGGCCACCTTCAATTTTATTTATCGAAGTGGAATGAGAGTAATGAACTTTTTTGTATAAACATAAGAATAAGTGAGTGTGACTGTAATTGATTTGCATTCACTGATAGTGATGGACCCATAGTAGGGCAATGCTGTGTGGGACTAGCTTTGGGGTGCTCAATCTTACTCCGTCCTCTTTTCATCCCCAAGTAAATTTATTAGTGGGGAAAAGAAAAAAAGGGATGAAAGATGAATATTTTTCTTTGTGAAGCCTAGACTGATGAAGAATATTTTTCTTTTTGAAGATTAGGCCTTCTGGTTTTCTTTTCGTGGTGTGGTGTACTGCATTAAAGTGGGCAAGTGTTTGTATGAATTGCTTATCATACAAGAAAACTGAACCTTGCTCTCTTGTCATTTCATGAAAATCAGAAACTAGTTAGTTAGTTTTAATCTCATAGTATTTTCCTTGCTTTATTGCACATCATTTTATAGAGGTAGTTTTATATGTTTTAGTACTTTGAAGGGGTATATCCGTATTGTAACTTCCTGGATCATTTTTTGGATTGAAGTGACTTTGGAGTTAAAAGGTGGAATTGGATAAATTTTATTTGTTTTCCGGACATGGGATCCTCATATGGCAACAGATTCAAATGTGTCCAGTTTTCTTTAAATAATTTGAAAGGTCCTAAAATTACTGGCTAGAATATTTTCTTGAAACACTTTAATTGCCCATTAAATAAATAGGGTTGGTGTTTAGTATGTGTGTACTCTTGATGGTCCTATGGCTGTGCTAAATGTAAGCTTTTGTATCATGCTCGGAAAAGAGAAGGGTTCAGATATACAGTGAAGAAATCTGTATCTTGCTCTAAAAAGAAGGCTTTGGAGATTCATTTCTTACCTGCCTATTACTTCTATTATCAAGCATCGCCATTGTTGTTGGCTTTTGTAATTTTCCCTTTCAAAAATTAAGTGATCACAGATCAATACGGAACTGTGAATTATTACTTGATCAACAGAATATATCACAAGGTCCTGTAGATAATACTTATCTATTGAGGCAGAAAGGAAACTGAATTTTCTCATGATATATTGACAAAGTTAATGTTGCATGGGATCTTCATAAGTCACTCATTGGCACTTAGAAGTTCAATTCATGCCTTATGGTTTTTGAACTAAGCAAAAACTTCATTGTTTGGCCATATCTTAACTAGCTATCACTAGCTCCAGAAGTTTATTGTCGCAACGATCCCTTCATTGTTGCCTACTCCTTTTAAGTGGAGAGAACGTAAGATAAGAAAAATGATAAGGCTTCCCCTAGTCCTTTTATGTACTTGCACTTTGTACTTAAAGCACTCCAAATCACCCAATGTTTTGTGGGCATGGCAAGAAGCATTTTCCCTCTTAAGCGCTGTACTACTTTTCTTTTCCCTGCTCATTAACTAACCAAACCATGGAAATGAGAGGTTTTTGAATACTTGTCTTATCTTCTGTCCTGTCTTACCAAATGGTGTGTAAAATGTATCTATATGTGCTTTTGAGATTTGTAGCCTTCAATTATTATTATGTCTGATTTTTTTTCCGGTCCAGCAAATGTGAAAGAAATTATAAACTGAATTTCTTTCCTTCTTTTTCCACTTCAATGTCAATTGTGGCCTCTTTTGATGTCTGTGCGTTTGCAGATAAGTCGAACATCAGAACTCGCCCGGGTATTTGGCATAGACTTTTTTTCTGTTCTCTCTCGAGGTTCACAGTATCGTGTGGAATCTATGTTACTGAGATTGGCACACTCACAAAACTATCTTGCCATCTCTCCTGGGAACCTACAGGTTTTGCTATTTTCTCCTGTTTAATATCTAATGGTGCATCACATTATTATAATTGCAGTGTTATGGCGTGTTACTTAACCATTTATTCTGAGGATATTTCGCTGCAATATTGAGAATAGTCCTTTTGCGTAAACTGTTTGAAGCTTCTCTACTGTGCTGTAACCTTTGTGATCCACACTAAGTATATTTTCTTATCGCAAGGTGTAATGATTCCAAATTTCGATTCTGATTAAAATGATCACAGCTGCTAATATGTCTTGTAGTAACAAAAATGCATGAAATGTTCACGTCGCATGAAATGTTTACGTAGCATGGAGAGTAAGTCCTAAGCTGTTTTATCCCTATTTTCCATAACAAGTGAATTCTTGTTTTGCCCTTACACAATAAAATAATAGTTTTCATTCTTTTCTCTCCATATCTTTTCCAAAGGTGATGAAAGGTTGCCACATGCCACTATCTTTTCTTTTTTCTTCCTTAATTGTTCAAACACGATGAGAAGTCAACGCTACCCTCTCCTTTCCTCTCTTTCCTCTCACAGGTCACAGTTACTGTTCTCCTCTCCTTTCCTTTCCCTCCTATTAATCCTAATGACTATTAGGAATTCATAAATTACTAATACAAGTTGGCTGAAGATTTGATGTGGTGGTTCTGTGATACTGTCTTTGTCTGTCTATTGGTGGGCTTTTAAAGCATTGGCTGATGTTTATGCTCTCTCTCTCTCTCTCTCTCTCTCTCGTTATGCAACACTTTGATTGTCTTTGACTGAATACTGATGCAATTGTCATTATTAGGTTGCTTCGCAACCCGCAATGGAGTGCCTACCTCTTGTGATGGAGCCAGAATCTGGTTTTTATGCAGATCCAGTTGTTGTTTTGGATTTTCAGTCGCTTTATCCATCAATGATAATTGCATACAACCTCTGCTTTTGTACATGCCTCGGAAATGTTACGCCTTCGAAGGCAAACACACTTGGTGTTAGTTCATTCTCACTAGATGCACGTGTTTTGCGGGATTTAAAAAATGAAATTCTGCTTACTCCAAATGGTGTTATGTATGTTACTTCAAAGGTGATGCTTTCTTTTGAAAGTTCTATGTCTGCCAGTAAATGCACTCTTGCATGTGATCATTGTCCGTAGACTGTAGTTGAATGCCATAAGAAATATAATGGGCACAATAATAGTTTGTTATCAATAAGTTGATCATGCATGACATTCCATGTGATTTCTTATGTATTAAGGGATACGTATCTATTTTCCTTGTATGCTGTTGTGTATTTCATCCCTTATATGGTATTGGAATTCTTCAGTAGTGAGCTTAGTTCATATTTGTAGATACATAATGCTTCTTCTTTAGGTGGGAAAATGTCTCTGTTGTAAAGGGAAGCTATAATTGAACTGGACACCAGGTTTTTTGATAGTTATATTCAAGAAAGTGTTGTTTACTTGTGCTCTTAATCAGCAATGGGAACAGTTGTAGGCTAAAAAAATTGTGGTGGATGCTGTAACTATAGAGTAATCCGGGTTGGGTGATGGAGATGAAGGTACTACATCTAGATATTAGAGGTTAAATGACAATTGATGCATAAATTTGTAACGTGGAGACGAAGTTTCTATTGCTATGATGGGAAATGAAATTTGTTCTTACTTTCCATCGCCCGCCGCCCGCTGGGGGGGGGGGGTGTTTGTATGGATGATCAAGTTTCATTTGTTTCAAGGTGTTTCAATAATGTTTGTTTGTCAGTTCATTCTTGTAAATTTACTGTTTTTGCATTGTCTTTAGATTTTTCTCGTCTTTAAGAGTTGTTCCATCTTATTATATGCTTTCTACAGGTTCGTAAAGGTATACTACCTCGCTTACTGGAGGAAATATTATCAACTAGAATTATGGTGAAAAAAGGAATGAAGGAGTTGGCTCCTTCACAGCAAGTTCTTTACAGGGTTAGAATCTAATTCAAGTTAATTTGCAGTATATTTCCCAGAACTATCAATCTAAGACGGAATTTCAAAGGATTCAAAGCTTACACTAGATGCTTAATCAAGATTGTCTTATTAGTCTGAAGATTAATTGTAACTTGACTTCAACTGTGATACACATATGTTTTTGTTTAGAGGATGATTAGAAATATGAAATTAAAAGGTGAAAAGGCTTGAAAATGTGAATGACAGTAGATTTGAAGCTTTCCCTTTTCTTTCTCCTTATTTTTCCCATGTCAATTGTCTTTGTATTTAAATATTTAATCATCCAATGCACTAATTGAAATTGTCTTTACAGTTAAGTGCACGTATTGACATATATGTAATCATACATTTTGAAGTTATTAAGTATCATTTTATTTTTTAATTGTGGATTGTATAATTTAACATTACTAGAAGTGTTTTCCTTTTATTTATTTTATTTTATTGTTTTCTCTTCTGAAAAGTGTGGTTTAAGTATGATTCACTAAGGTTGTTCCTGCTTATTTTGTTACTTTCTTTCAGATATTTAATGCAAGACAGCTTGCTCTGAAGCTAATATCGAATGTAACGTACGGCTATACAGCTGCTGGATTTAGTGGTCGGATGCCTTGTGCAGAACTTGCCGATAGTATTGTTCAGTGCGGCCGTAGAACACTAGAAAGTGCTATTTCATTTGTAAATGCACATGATAAGTGGAAGGCTAAAGTAATTTATGGTGATACTGATAGGTATGCTCTCAACCTTTACTAATGGTTAAAGATTCAAGAACTATCCAATCTTAAACAGTTTATATAATCTACATTATTTAATATGTGGCTAACTTGGAGAGTGGCAGAACCACTTTTCCATTGCTTGCAATTTTATATTCTTCAATGTTGAAATCGCTGCTGCTTAAAAGTTGAACTATAGTGTTCTTTTTGATAGTTTGCAAAATGTTGTGAACTTCCATGATTCTCAATCTTGGTTAGTTAGATTCAACAGATTAGATCATTTTTCCAATGGGCTTTACTTCTGTGAAAATCATTTTCCAGCTTATTTTTTTCACCTCTTCAAATGATCTGAGCTTAATTTTAAATGGTCATGAACTTTTTCAAGTTATGGTGAACCTTCTTTTTGTACTTGTCGCTGGATTTCGTTATGGCCTTTGCTGTTCGAACTAGATCATTGCTTCTACTTATTTATCATTTATTCTGCAAATGTTAAGTTTTTGCCCATAATTACTTTATGCAGTATGTTTGTCCTCCTTAAAGGGCGAACTGTTAAAGAATCTTTCCAGATTGGACATGAGATTGCTTCTACAATAACTGCAATGAATCCACATCCTGTCACACTGAAAATGGAGAAGGTCTATCATCCATGCTTCCTCCTTACTAAGAAACGCTATGTTGGTTACAGTTTTGAGAGCCCCAACCAAATCAAACCTACTTTTGATGCTAAAGGTATTGAGACAGTACGCAGAGATACTTGTGGGGCTGTGGCCAAAACAATGGAGCAGTCGTTGCGACTTTTTTTTGAGCACCAGGATAATAATAAGGTAGAAACACAATTTTTATTTTATGTATTTATTTATTTTTTCCACTGAACCAAAGCTAACGAGTCACACTAGGGATGGTTTGATGGATGTGGTTTTATAAGGCAGGCTTGTGACAAACTTTTTAGTTTCGCAAAACTAAGGACTTAACTTTAGTATCAGTTGAGTGAATAGTTTGGGCTTAGTTACAATTCTGTGTCAGGTGATATTCTGTGAAACAAGAGAATATGAATTGACTAGAAAATTATGAAATTTTAAATGAAGAAATAAGGAAATAATGTCATACTGTGCAAAATTTTTGATGTATTATTTGTAAACCATACTGGAAATTTCCATCATATACCACAAAAACAAGTTTATAAACATCTAATTTTTTTCACCCAGTGTGAGTTTCCATTTATCTGCACAGATCAAAGCTTACTTGCAGCGTCAATGGACTCGGATATTATCCGGCAGGGTTTCTCTTCAGGATTTTGTTTTTGCAAAGGAGGTTCGCTTAGGTACCTATAGTACAAGGGCATCTTCGTCACTCCCACCAGCAGCAATTGTGGCAACTAAAGCAATGAGAGCAGACCGCAGGGCGGAGCCACGGTATGCAGAGAGAATACCTTATGTCGTAGTCCATGGCGAGCCTGGGTCTCGCCTGGTTGATATGGTAGTAGATCCACTAGATCTTCTGGCAATAGATGCCCCCTTCAGGTTAAATGATTTATATTACATCAATAAACAGATAATCCCAGCTTTACAGAGGGTATTTGGCCTGGTTGGAGCTGACTTAAACCAGTGGTTTTCGGACATGCCTCGCCCAGGACGGGAAGCTATCACGAAATTCAACTCTTACGCTCCAAATTCGCATCGAACCAGAATTGATTATTACTATTTGTCAAAACATTGTATCCTGTGTGGTGAGCTGGTCCAAGCTTCAGCCCATATATGTGGTAAATGTCTAAAGAATGAAGCTGCTGTTGCAACAGCTTTGACCGGAAGAACTTCAAAATTGGAGAGAGAGACTCAACACCTTGTTGCAGTGAGTGTCGTGATCTTTTGCATCAATTTCAGTGGAACATTTTGGTTATTTTGTGCAGCGCATTCATCTGATAATTTGCCTACTTGCATAAAGTCCATCTATTTTTATATACTTCTTTCATGGTTAATTTACTTGTTATGAATCTGCTATATTTATTTATTTTAGTAACAAATTCTAATTCGAACAAACTGAAGTTACAGGAGGCTTTCTAATAGGGATCATAACATATTAGTTATTCTAAAATTCACACATGAATACTGTCTTGAATTCTGAAATTTATCTGCGGAATTTCAATATTTTTGATTGAATAATTTCATGATCTCCTTCTCCTCGAATCATTGCGTTCTCCTGTAATATGTTGTTGCCTCTGAGTTGCCAGCAATATTGTTTTTTTCCAAGAAAATTCTGATCATGTATTTAATGTGCCATGTAGTTGCTGAGTTTTGAATTGTTACTGTGTGCGCACTTTGAGTTTGTGACGTTGTGGGACATAAAATAGCTAGTTGACTGTTTAATGGTGGTGGTTTCTCTCGCAGATGTGCCGGCATTGTGGAGGTGGTGATGGGCTGATGGAAAGTGGAATAAAGTGCACATCGCTGGCATGCTCAGTGTTCTATGAGAGGCGGAAAGTTCAGAAAGAACTGCAGGCCCTATCCACTGTAGCTACGGAGGCAGGTTTATATCCAAGGTGTATGGTTGAATGGTTTTAAATGTCGGGATGCTCCTGTCCGGTCTTACTAGATCACGAATCTAGGAATGTACTCTCTACAATGTGTTATTTTTACCTATTTGGTTCGGCGGTGTAATATAGTTGTATATTATGTGATTTATGTATGTAATTGTTGCATCTTATTTTGTGATTTTTAGAAGTTTGAACTATTGAGATTTGAAGAGTGTATATTTATAGTTCTGTTGTTTTGTGATTATGTAATCATATTCTATGGCTTTTATCTGAACTAAGTAAGCCAGGAAACAGCTCCATAGTTTTGTTCTGCAACTGATCGAATTAGATGATGATGCAGAATAGGGATCTTCCAAAAGCGATAGGATGAAAGACACATGGTTTGACGATGATTCAGACGGTTGGTACACCTACGGAAACTCTCCATTTTCCTTACCAATAGACCAGTGGTCTAGCGATACCAGACTCTTATTTTTCAAAGGGAGATTAGGGATTTGAGTCTCGGTGGAAGCATGTGTTTATGAGTACCGATTAAGAAGTAAAAATAAAAAATAAAAAAAATTAAAAAAAACTCCATTTTCCTTGATAATGAAGAAATTAGGGCTCATTTGGTTAGATGGAAATAGCATGAAATGAAATGAAATGAAACGAAACGGAATGGAAAATGAAAAGAAAAGTGAAGTGAATGCAAAGAAAATTTATTTTTTAATATGTATTTGGTTAGGATGAAAATTTCTTCAATAAAATTGTAAGAAAATATCATGTTATAGTTAAATTGTAGGAAAATATCATGTTATAGTTTGGAAGTCTAAATTACCCTTATTTTATAAAATAATAAAGAATTAATAATAAAATATATTAAAAAAATGATAAAGTTTTCAATCAATTTAAGACCTTTTGGATTACCATTATTTATATATAGGATGAAAAACAATTAGGAATAGAAGTCAAGTTAATTAAAAATTTATTAATGATAAAGTTGTTAGTCCTTATTTTTAGTTGGGCTCGGGACCTGAAGGTCAGGAGGGTTAAAACCATCTTTAATAGATATGAACTCCTCACAAGCCAGCTCATTAGTTTGGAGAATTCTTGTCTCTTTTTTTCTCCAAACACTTGAGCCAAATATTTGACATCTATTCGATCTAAAGATGGTTTTCATTCGATCTAAAGTTGACTAAACACATTTCCTTCGATCTAAAGTTGACTCGAATGAGATTGTTACACTTTTTGTTCTTTAAAAGACGCAATCTGCCTACTAGCACATGACTAGGGGTGCCAACCACACCATACCTTTCCCACCAGAGACGGACCCTCTCCAAAAAGCCCTCAGCCCGCTGACTCCAATTCTTTGAACCTAGTCAAAATTTGTTATTGTTTCCAAATATAAAATGAAGTTGTTGGGTAAAATAATATCAATGAAGCTGTGGGATAAAATAGGAACACTAAATAAAAAAACGTTGCTTTCACGGGAAAATAAAATTTCTCTGTGTTTTGTAAAGAAAACATTTTGAAAAAAATAAAGGGTTACAAGAATCCTAATTTTTTAGAACTTTTCCTTTTCTATCTAACCAAACTATAAATTTTTTTTTAAAATTTTCTATTTCCTTTCTTTTCCGGTTGATTCTACTTAACCAAACGAAGCCTAGGAGTTTTAATGAGTGTCCATTGACCGGGGTGACACGTAGGAAGTACTCCTGGGGGTATATTATGTACTTGAGTTACCAAGGCCTATGGTAATACAAACATTATTTGTCATTTGATGAAGGCCCACTTTTTGTTTATCACAGCAAATTTATTGGCAAAAAAAGGAATGTTGTGGGGCATAGGAAACCTGCATTTAAGCATTTTGTTCTCTTTAGCTCCAAACCGATGAATAATCCATCCTCCGGTGTTTTGCAATCTGAATTAATAAATTAATTTGAAATATTCATTACATTGGAGCCCATAAATAAACTTTAATCTCAAATCGATGGAATGCAAATCCATTTTATTTCTAGGGTAAAATACAGTCACACCCCATGAGATTTGGCAAAAGGACATTCAGATGAAACTTATTTGTTTTTGGACAAAGATACCCCTGAAGGTTCAAAAATGGACAAAGACACCCCTTTACATGAAAAAATTACCAAATTACCCTTTGACCGGTTAGGAGACTTTTTTAACTTTACTATTTAATAAATTAGACCAATCTACCCTCATAAATAATTTATGCATAAAAAAAAGTAAAAAAAAAACTTTATACTGTTCACATTTTTTTTTTTACTTTATAAATGTCTCAACTTATTAAAAATATAGACGTCTAAAATGATTTTTTTATTCAATACATATATTTCAAATAAATTATATTTTGTTATTACTTTTTTCTTTTTCTTTTTTATTTTTTATTTTTAAATTAAGATGCTTAATTCTTTCGTCTAAAAAAATTAAGCCATTCTCTTTTCCTTAAAAATAAAAAATATCGTACCATTATAACCATGCACCTTAAATTATATATCAAATGTTATGCATTTCCTAACATAAAAGAAAATAGGTACAATATAACTTTATGCATCTTAACTTTATGTACGCTTTGTTTTTTTTTTTTTTCCTTTGTTTTATTATTATTATTTTCCCCTTTTATATTCAGAATGTATAATATTTAATATATAATTAAATTTGTGGTACCATATTTTTTATTTTTAAGGAAAAGAGATAGGTTTAATTTTTTTAGATTAAAGAATTAAGTATCTTAATTTAAAAATGAAAAAGAAAAAAAAAAAAAGTAATAACAAAATATAATTTATTTGAAATATATGTATTGGATCAAAAAATCATTTTAGATGTCTATAATTTTAAGAAGATGGGACATTTATAAAATAAATAACAAAAAAAGAAAAGTGAACAATATAAAGTTTTTTTATTTTTTTATTTATGCATAAATTGTTTACGAGGATAGATTGGTCCAATTTATTAAATTGTAAAGTTGAGAAAGTCTCCTAAACGGTCAAAAGGTAATTTGGTCAATTTTTCATGTAAAGGGATATCTTTGCCCATTTTTGAACCTTCAGGAGGTGTCTTTGTCAAAAAAACAGGTAAGTTATCCTTTTGTTAAACTTCAGAGGATGTGACTGTACTTTATCCTTATTTCTATTAATCCGAAAACAAGTGTAACCTATTTTAACTGACTTTTACCATTCGAACAATCCACTTTGACCATAATCTCAACAAATATGAACTCAACTAAAAAAGATTGCTAGTACCTGAAAAATGTTCACTCAAATTAAACACTAACTAGCTTTTAGTATACGCACATCCAAGCATAGATTAAAAAAAGGAAATGAGGATAAAAGAAACAAAACACTCCCACAATACTTAAATATGTTAAATTTCTTCTCCATTTTCCTACACACAGTACCATTTGGAGGAAGATACAAATACGCATGTTTGCCTTTATCCTCGGAGGATTTGAACTTAATTCTTTTTATATTGACCAAATTCAGATCGTAGTTTTTTTTTTTAATGGCAAGAAACATAAACACAACCCACACGCCCCACTTTGCCCCGACTTGAACCCTCACCATTCACTTTGGGACATCCACTTTGGGAGGAAGACACTAGGCCGCAAGACCTTAGGTATTTCAGATCCTAACTTGATGTCCAAACTATCTCATTAGGCACATTTTCGCTTCTCTTTAATTCTTGGAAATAGATAAAGCTCATTGCAGATCATACCTACAGGTAACAGGAGCTAATTATATCCTATATTAGGGAACCCAAAAAATAAGGGGTAAAAAAGTACTTCAAACGAAAAACCAAGCCATCTGAATAGGATACACGAATAAATCCTATAAACTAAATCGTGGATTTATAAAGAAAAACCGGCATACAAAAAGAAACATGCTAACCAGGGATTAAAAAAACGAAAAAAAAATAAAATTAAGTGACAATAAGTAACTTAAGATGAATTATCGACCCGTCTTCTAAGACAGCCAATCAACAAACAATATCCCCAACTCCTTGCTGCTTTTCTGTAAACAGTAAGAAACAAACATGGCAGCTGTACCAGCAGCATGACTTGAGTTGATAATAAATGGGGTTATAAGGACAAGATGGGGGAAAGCTGAAACCTCTCAATTTACATTTTTCTTTTTCATCCTTCTAAACTTGTATCCTAAAAATAGGTGGGGCTCAGAAGAAAGAGCTCATCTCACCAAAGGATCAGGAAGACATTTTGAGAACATTCACCTTACAAGAAGGGGAAAGGCATAGCAGAGAGAACATGAACGTCGACGAACACGTGGATCTTTTCCATTGCCATAATGAGAACCCAATTCATGTGAAAAAGTGAACAGCAGTTCCAGCTAACCAAGCAAGAATCTGAACACATCACTTAATGAAATAATGCCTTCTACACGCTTGCTGCCAGCCTCCACAATTACAAGTCTCCTAACCCCTGGAATATGCCAGGAATGGCTCAAGTATGTAAAAAGTTCTATCCCAAACAATTAAGGAAAAAAAAAGGAGCAAGTTGGTGGAAGAATTTGAACGGCCAAGCTGGCACTATACTAGAATGGTGAATAAAAAATTGAATATACAAAACGAACAGAAAAGAAAAAATTACCAGGATTTGCTAGCCGTTCCATCACCTTGTGCAAAGGATCAGATCGCAAACACATTTGACATCTCTGTCCATTGAAAAAACCATAAGGAGAACTTGCATCTTGTCCCAACTGTAAGGCCTACAGGTTAGACATAAGAAGAAAACAAGTATGATGAGTTCTCTGTAGGTGGTCACTATCAATAACTAGTTTTCTATAATGCTGTTTTTGGAGGGCATCAACGGACGCTTTGGAATTGGAATTGAGAACTGAACTAGTTTTAAGCTTTAAACTATTTTTTTTCCAATTCCAATTATGCGCGGGAATTCCAAACAACCAAACAGAGCATAAATGAATTTCACTTAAATACTGATTCTTTAATTTGCAAGAAGGGATGTTTGATACTAGAAAAAGAATAAGAATACAATTGTTAAAAGGATAAAACAATCAAATAGTTGCTCAGCCTAAAAATAAACAAGAGATAAAAGTGTGCGAAGGTGGGTGCGTGGGTAGGGTGTAGGAAGGAAAATCTCAGTCAGGTGCAATGCTTCATCTTCATAAGCATCATCGTCATCATCACCACCGCTATGTATCATTTATAATACTGGTCTGGCCAATTTGTACATGCAAAACAGAGCTTCAGAGGAAAGTTAAAAGTGGGCATATTAAGGTCAATTTAAGTTGCATATATGACCGTAAAGTAGTAACTTGTAATTAGGGCTTGCAACTGAGGATGGATTGAATGGGGCACCATATCCCTGTCAGCAGAAATCACTACCCCCCAACCCCACTTCCGATTAGTCTCTCCGACCACGGCCCCATCCCACTTTGTTTGACAATAAATAATATATAAATGTACACACACACATAAGAGATGAACCTGTGACAATAATACAAGATGCCCATGAGAAGAAAGAGATGATGACGGTGATGAGAATGCCTTCGACGAAGAAGCAGCAGAACTCAATAACATATCTAGATATGATGACCAATATCACCTTGGAAATATGTATACCATGTCGACAATTGAAGCGATAGTTATCACAGTGGTGGCAATGACAATGAGGTTCGACAAGGGAGATGACAGCAAATTTGAGAAGGAGATCGATAGTCTGATTATGAAAATCCTAGGGCCGTATATAAGGGTAATATTTATAATAGCAGTGTAACTGGAACGGGGCACGGAGGTTCTCCATAGACCCAATTGCATCCAGGACACAACTCAGGTTTTGCTTTCTTACAGAAACCTGCTCAAAACCCAACTAGCTCCTCTCCAAATTCATCTCATAATGTGAAATTTGTAAAAGGCTGTATGTATCGATATTGTCCAATTCCTCTAAAGATGCACTCTTTTGTAAACATAATACCAAATTTTCACAATATATACACACATACACAGGCTCACACACACATATACACTATAGCAAATATGTACACACTGTTTTAATGGTTTTAATTTAGATTGGCAGCATCCAACAATAAGGGTTCTCTGTGAACAATTTATGTAGTAAAACAACTTAACCAATTTATCCGCCACAGAACCAACATATTACAGTTAGCGTGTACAGCTGTTATCTATTAGCTGCTATTATCTATTAGCTGTTATCTATTAGCTGTTAATGTATTAGCTGTCAAATTAATTGTATAGTTGACTTACCTTCAATAGGTCTGTGTATTCTGTATAAATATCCTTGAGATATATGAAAGAAATACAACTTTTTCAGCCATTTATCAATTTGGTATCAGAGCAAAAAGAAGGAATTTCTGCTGCTTTCTTTTCTTTTCTTTTCTATTTTAACCTTACTTCTAAAGACCTGCAACAGCCGTCAGCTATCTTCTTTGTGCTGCTGTTGCTTGTCTTCAATACCTCTTAGCCACGATCCATGGCAGCCAAAACAATCACTGATTCTTCCTCTCTAACCGAATATTCATCTGACAGCAAGAAGTCCTCCACGATGACTATTCACGAAACTACTTCTCCCATTCCTATTAAATTGGATGGTGCTAATTATCGTGTTTGGTCTCAGATTTTGGAGATGCATATTGCTGGTAGACAGAAAAAGGGGTATATCACAGGGAGAAAGGTTGCACCTGCAGAGGATGATCCAAGCTATGATGAATGGGAGGCTGAAGATGCCCTAGTCAAGTCTTGGCTTATCAATTCCATGATGGTTAATTTGATGTCCCACTTTGTGCAGTGTGGAACAGCCAGGGAGGTTTGGGATGCGGTAAAAAGAAGCTATCTTAATGTCTCTAATTCTTCTCAGGTTTATGAACTGATGAAGAAGTCCTTTCAATTGCGTTAGGATGGTCGGCCTCTTGTAGAGTACTACATGAGCTGAACTCAATCTTCAAGGAACTTGATTATCGAAGACCAAATGATATGACGTATGCAACTGATATTGAGAAACAAGCGTATTTCTCAGGATCGGGTCTATATGTTTCTTGCAGGTTTGGATCACAGTTTGGATCAAGTTAGTAGTCGTGTTGTAGCTACCTCTCCTTTACCAAGCTTGGAAGAAGCATATTCTCTAGTTCGTCATGAAGCACAGAGACAGGTCACCATAGCAATAAAGGATCACTAAGAGGCCTCAGCTCTTGCTGTCCAACAGAGTTCCTGACCAGCTCCTCCTTCTACCGACTCTCTTCTCGTCTCTGTACTCACTGCAATAGTACGAAACATACGGTTGATATTTGCTAGAAGAAACATGGTTATCCGGAGTGGTTCAAGCTTAAGCAAGCTGAGAAGAAGAACAAGAAATTTGCTCAGGTTGCTATCGTCGACACTTCTCCATCTTCTGCTTCTCATGTATCTCGAGTGTCTTCTCAAGGAGGTAATTTTGGTTTGGCCCTTATTTCTACTGCTTCTAACACTTTGGTTATTGATTCAGAGGCCACTGATCATATGACTAGTAACTCTTCCATACTTGACTCTCTAATACCTTCACCCGTTAAGTCTGTTCAGGTTGCTAACGGGACTCCTATGCCAATTACAGGGGCTGGGAATGTCTCACTTTCTCCTACATTCTCCATGTCTTCAGTTTTACTTGCACCTAATCTATCTAACAACCTTCCTTCCATTAGCAAAATTACCAAAAATCTTAATTATTCTGTAACTTTTCATTCTACTTTCAGGACAATCTTACGAAGATGACGATTGGCATTAGTAAGGAGAGAGGAGGTCTTTACTACTTGGAGAAGGGGGTAAGGGAGTTAAAATCTGAACCTAGCCGTGGTTTTCAAGTAAAGAGAGAGTCTGACAGAGAGAAGATATTTTTATGACATTGTCGTTTGGGACATCCATCTTTCTCTTATTTAGAACGTTTATTTCCCAACTTATTTTGCAATATTTCTGCTTCTAGTTTAGGGTGTGAACAATGCATTTATGCTAAAAACCATTCTGTTCCTTTTAAAGTGAGTTTCAATAAAAGTCCTATTCCTTTTTCATGTGTTTACACAGATGTGTGGGGTCCTTTTTCTATTCCTTTCGCTTCGGGCCATAAATACTTTGTATCTTTTATTGATGACTGTACTGGAGTGAGTTGGGTTTATTTGCTAAAATCTAAGAGTGATGTTATACATGTTATTCCTCAGTTTTACGAAATGATTGTCACCAAATTTCATACTCAGGTTCAGGTTTTCCATTCTGACAACGGTGGTGAGTATGTGAATCAATCTCTTACTGATTTCTTCAAACAACATGGCATCCTCCCCCAGACAACGTGCGCCTACACGCCACAACAAAACGGCATAACAGAGCGTAAGAATCGTCATCTCTTAGAGGTGGCTCGTACCTTATGCTTTACTATGAATGTTACTAAGTATTTCTGGGCCGAGGCTGTCATGACTGCTGTTTTTCTTATCAATCGAATGCCTTCTCGTATAATTAAATATCAAACTCCATTAAGAATGCTATCCCGATTTCACTCTATTCCTTCTACACTTAATCTTTGTCCTAAGGTTTTTGGTTGTGTTTTATGTTCATATACATTTTCTTCATAGGGATAAGCTTGACCCTCTTGCTCTTAAGTGTGAGTTCCTTGGTTCGTTCAAAAAAGGGCTATAAATGTTTTCATCCTCCTACAAGTAAATACTATGTGTCCATGGATGTTCAGTTTTGTGAAAGAGAGTCTTATTTTTCTGGGGATGTATCTCTGATTCCTCTTCAAGGGGAGATTAGTAGTAAGGAAGAGGAATGGTTATGGCTAGAAGAAAAGAGGTTGTGGATTTCAGGTAAGGAGGAGGATTCAGCTGTTATGAAAAAAGGAGAACCTTTAGATACTCTTGATCATGTGGAGATTGAGTTCGATGAAAAAATAGGTAAAAGACCAACCCACTTGTTCAAAGAAGTATATGTGAGAAGGAACAAGGATGCCACTGTCATGCCGCCTCCTTCTAACTCTAGTACCCCTCTTGATGATACTACCATGCCATCGGATGAATCTTCTAGGATTAACTCTGAGGTACATGTTTCTTCTCCTTTAACTTCAACTTCAGATATTAATTCTAACCCTATAACTTCTGTGGAGACTGCTGCCTTGAATCCACAGGTTGGTGATCAGGGTAGGCGGTATCCTTTTCGTGATCGTAAAGAACCTGATAGGTTGGGTTTCTCCAAATTTTCTTCTAATGTTGTCTATCATATCTCTGATTTTGTTTCCTATCACCGTCTGTCTAAGACTCACCTAGCTTTTGCCCTTCAGTTGTCTTCTGTGTCTGTTCCTAGTCATTTTCAGGATGCCCTTGGAGATCCTAAGTGGAAGGCTGCTATGGTAAAGGAAATGAAGGCTCTCCAGAAGAACTCTACTTGGGAGTTGGTCGAGTTGCCTCGGGAAAAGAAGACAGTGGGATGTAAGTGGGTGTTTACAGTGAAGTATAAGTCAGATGGGACAGTTGAGAGGTACAAGGCTAGACTAGTTGCCAAGGGATACAATGGGATTGATTATCAAGAGACCTTCGCTCCTGTGGCCAAGATGAACACTGTTCGAGTTATACTCTCTCTCGCAGTTAACTTGGACTGGCCATTACAACAGTTTGATGTGCAGAATGCCTTCCTTCATGGTGATTTGATAAAGGAGGTGAATATGGATCCTCCCCCGGGGTTTACACCTGAAGGAGGTAAGGTATGCAAGCTAAAGAAGGCTTTATAAGGGTTGAAACAATCACCAAGAGCATGGTTTGGCAGGTTGAGCTACTCAATGAAGAAGTATGGTTTTAAGCAAGCTTTGGTAGATCACACTCTCTTTTATAAGAGGAATGGTGATGATATTACTTTGCTTATCGTTTATGTGGATGACATAATTGTTACAGGTAGCAACACCAATGAGATAGAGAAGCTTCAGAGCTATTTGGCCAAGGAATTTGAAATGAAGGACTTGGGGGTTCTGAATACTTTCTGGGCATTGAAGTGTCTCGGTCCAAGCAGGGACTTTTTCTCTCTCAACAAAAGTATACATTAGATCTCTTGGCTGAAACTGGTAACTCTGCGTGTGTTCTTATAGACACTCCTATTGAAAGTAAATCGTGGCTTAGCTATCTATCCTGATCAGATTCCGACAAACAAGGAGAGAGATCAGAGACTAGTGGGGAAGTTGATCTATCTGACTCCCACTAGGCCTGACTTATCGTATGCAGTTAGTGTTGTGAGTCAATTCATGCACAATCCGAGTGACCGACACATGAATGCAGTGAATCGTATTTTGGCTTATCTAAAGTCCTCTCCAGGTAAAGGTATTATGTTCTCCAGGCATGGACAGCTAGACATTGTGGGTTATTCAGATTCTGATTTTGCGGGAGCCAAGTTGGATAGGAAGTCTACTTCAGGGTATGTGTCATTCGTTGGAGGCAATTTGGTGACCTGGAGGAGTAAGAAATAGAATGTGGTATCGTTGCCTAGTGCAGAAGCTGAATACCGTGCTCTTCATCATGCAATTACGGAGCTTACATGGTTGAAGATTCTCTTAAGTGAGCTTGGATTTGGTCCAAAGAAACCTATATTGATTTTTTGTGATAATACGGCAGCTATTGATATTGCTAATAATCCAGTGCAACACGATCGAACTAAGCATATTGAACTTGACCGAAACTACATCAAGGATAACCTGGATTCTAGTGTGATAGAGGTTCCTTACATTAAGAGTGCGAACCAGCTGGCTGATAAGATGACTCATGGTGTTACTAGTGGCTCGTTTCATACATCACTATCCAAGTTGGGCATGTGCGATATCTATGCACCAACTTGAGGGAGAGAGTTAGCGTGTACAGTTGATATCTATTAGTTGTTGTTATCTATTAGCTGATATTATCTATTAGCTGTTAATGTATTAGCTGTCAAATTAATTGTATAGTTGACTTACCTTGAATAGGTCTGTGTATTTTGTATAAATATCCTTGAGATATATGAAAGAAATACAACTTTTTCAGCCATTTATCAATTATTACACTGCTATGGAGACATATCACTAGCATTATTTACCGAACAAAAATAACGAGTTTACAAAGATATAGCAAGAGCAAAGAATAATGAGGTAAAATTAGAAGGGGACATAAAATCATTTTAAAGGATAACCACATAAAAAGGACAACCAAGTATTATAACATTTGAACTCAACTACTCCCAAAGAAGCATCAGAAGTAGCCTGAATAATTGCCAAGTGAGCCTCAACTAAGCAATAAAAGTACAACTATTGAGAATCATCTCTATATCCACTTAAAAGTTCTTATAAACCTTTGATGCATGGGCACAAATATACTCATTTTCCAATCTTTCTATCCATCTCTCTCTCTCTCTCTCACACACACACACCAAATTCTTCAATTTTTTTTTTTTTTTTTTTTTTTGGGGGGGGGGGGGCTAGTAACTACCATGTAAGACAAGCTTACATTCCCTTTTTATTCTTTATATTACATGCCTACAGAGTTTCTCCTTTGTCCCCATAGCATAAGCCACTTTCAAAACTAATGGAAAGATTTACAAATAAAGTCAATACAGTTAATCTCTAAACAGTTACCTGCTGAATACTCATTTCCTCAAGGCGAATCTGTGCATAGGCTCTGTCTTTTGCCAAAGCAGTGATATCACTATTCAAAAAACAAATATTTTTTTATCAGTAAAGAAAGAACGAATCTGTGCATACTGCATAGGCTGTCTTTTGCCATAACAGTGATCTTACTACCCAAAATACAAATAATTTTTTATCAGTAAAGAAAGAACCACTAAAAGCGTAAAAAACAGAGGCTCAGCCAGCCAATGTAAGCACGGTGTCTACAAAGCTATGCAACAACTCTACTAAAAAACAAACATTCATCCCTCTCATACGTCTAAAGAAAAAGATAAAAATAAAGAAAAACAAATATGCCTTTCACTAAGGAATGGAAATATATTCATTAAAGAGTTCAAATGGATAATAGTACTTGCAGCACATGGAAAACCTATACTGCAGTAAGAGAGAAGATTACCTTCTACAATATATATCCAACAATGAGTCATTTTCATCCACAATTGGTATTGAACTAACTTCAGCTGCAATTAGAACAATGTAATTGCATAAGACAATACATAAGGGGTAGGGCAAAAAAAGAACAACTTGATAGTTACTAGTTCAATTCAGCTTTAACTTTCACTTCACACGGTAATGAACTAAGAGTCATACAGGGCAAAAAAAAAAAAAAAAACCCAAACAATTTATGTAACCTAATGCACAAAAGTTCCTATTTATCAATTCTTCGTTCATCTAATGAGAATAACAAATCTACAAAATCATCTATGGGTAAGTAGAGATAAAATGTATCTTTGCACCAAAAAATATCACTGGCACACTTTTTAAGGTACACAAGGAAAAAAGAAATCATTAAACTTATCCATTTTTATGCTTCGGGCAAAAGATACCCATACAGACCGTAAAACATGACAGTTGCATAACCTAAAGAGCTAGCCAATAAGCTACAAACAAAATGCAAGGAATGAATGTAAAAACTTCAGCTAAACAGAAATTTGTGATTAAAAAAACTTTATTTTATTTTAGAAATTCATTAATCTTGTCCAGATCCTCCTTTTCTTCCGAAAAGGGGAAGGATAAGGATGTTCTTCTGCGTCCACATACTTTTGGGAAAGAGAAGGAAGTTACCTTGAACTAATAAGGATAGGGCAGCACTAAGAGAGGCATTTGATCTCAACATTGCAAATGCCTGTCCATTTGATTCACCAATTCTAGGAACCCAAGTACCTAAAGGAAGTGAACAGATTGGCTGTTGAAGAATGGGCAAAGAGCTAGGAGAATGTCTAAAATGCCTGCATATACCTGAAAATTAAGTCATCTGTTAGTTAAAGAATAATATGCTTTATATTTTCAAAATTCAGAGAGGGAAGCCAGAACCATACACCAAGAACAGCTTACATTTAAGGATTCCAGAGAGTGAAGCCAGATGTAAAAGCTGTGGATATGAACCATCCTGTGAAGAAGAATGGATAATGGGAACTGTAGCCACCTTGTTTTGCAAAATCTTTATGGCAACATCCTTTAAAGAATCATAAGGCCCACCCTGCACATAGCAGAAGTATTGGCTATTAAAATTTTAAATAAGAATTTTAAATTTGAAATTTTCCATAAAGAAAATGTGAAGTCAGTTGATATTGAGGTCACATGTACATGTATAGAATTTGAGGATTTTTTATTTTTATTTTCCCACTCTTTCAAAGTAAATTTAAAGTCAGCTGATACTGAAGCCACATATATACATATAGAATTTGAGATTTTATTTCTTCTCTCTGTGACTTTTACGCCAGACCAAAATTGAATAAATTAGATTATAAGTTGAAATATATATAATGAATTGAGGAACCTCAGCTAAATATCACATGATGTTCTAGTTATCCACAACATAAAAATCAAAGGTCAGCATCCATTCACTGCTGGAGAAGTTAGCATATCATCATCATCATCATCCTTGCCTTATTCCCATATTAAAGTTAGCGCACCTTATGAGAAAACTTACTTGTATAAGATGTCTAGGATACGATCCGACATTGCCATCAATTTGTCTGTTGAGATTTATCTTTCCCTCTTTCCAAGCTAATATAGTGTGTGTCTCAAGCTCTTCCTCTGTCAAGTTTGATCCATGATTCCCAAGCTGAAATTTAAACAATCAGACAGCATTCTTCTCCCAAATCATTTAATAAATGTAAATGGACTCGAGGAACAAGAAGATGAAAAAGCTCATGAATACAAACACTGAACTAAGAAAAACAGAAATAGCATGATGCTTGGCTAAAATGCAGCCACAGTATTTAGTTACCGCTTCCAAAATTGAAATCTAAACATGTAAAAGATGCAAACAACTATCTTTATATTCTACGGAGAAAAAATGTATTGGATGCTGCAAAAATATATAATATTGAGCTTCGAAACGAAAAAGTCGAGGTAAATGAATAATCAAAGACAGTATATAAACTTCACAGATCATGGAAAACATGCACACATACATTCTACACAAGAATATAACAGGGGATACATAATTAGATTTGGTCATCATATAAGATTTTGCAAAGGGTTGCAAGTTTATGGTGGCCAAGTGTTGAATGAGGGGAATCAGTGAAAATTAACGAGCTATGGATGCTTCTGAAAAAAAAAAAAAAAAAAAAAAAAAAAAAAAAACACTTCTCTTGAAAAAGTTGTTTGTTCTCCTTTCTCTATTGAAGTCTGTATTGTGTTGGGGTGGGGGCGTGGGGGACAATTAAGTTTAGAGACATTTGCAGGAAGGGTCCTCGTGAAAATGGTTTAAGATTTCAAAGTCATGATTTGATGAGAATATGAGAACTCATTCAGAGGCCTTCGCTGAAACTCCAAGCATTTTTCACCTCAAGGCTCAAAGGTACCCAACATCCTTCGTGAACTTTAATATTTTGCAGTACCGTTGTCAACAACTAACTATCACACGAAATTATTTTCAGTTAAAAAAAAAAAACTGGGTCTACAGCACCATCAAAATTTAGACAGTAACTTAACCAGAATTGATGTTGAACTTCAGGATGATCACACACACACACATGTATCAATGTATAAAAAAAGTTCTCATCTAAAATTTGTGTCAATGAAGATTCATTGCTTAACAATGTGACAGAACAATAACGTTCGCATACTCCACATCATGAGATATATATTCACCATAGTACAGTCCTGTTTAACAATCACAATTTGTAATGCTAATCAACATTAAAATATAAGAATTCACAAGACTTCAAAATGACTGCAACACTTCTACTTGGAACCTGCACTTTAAAATAGCAACAATGGACAACAATATTTACAAGAGACATCTCCTTCCGGTGGAATTTAAAAGAATTATTCCACTGCAATCAATAATCCCCATGGACAGAAACGTTAAACAATGGGCATTTCTATAAAAGAAAAGTACAGCCACAAAAAAGTATTTAAAAGAGTTTCCGGGTCTTGTCCATACAAAATACAGAATAGCTTTCAAGGTATATTAATCAATTTAGGCAATAAATTCAATCAAGAAAACCACAGACCAATCAGTTCACGGACAGAAAAATACCCAAAATGTATATCTACCTCTCTTAGAATTAAGATGAAGTCCAGCGCACTAAGAACTCCAACAAAATGACCCTTGCAAATATCCCAGAGAGGAGCCACAGGAATTCCCTAGAAATAGCTTCAATCCATTAATCAGAAATAAGATGAAATCCAAGCCATTAATCAGAAATAAATTACTGCTTCAGAACCTTGCATACGAGAAAACAGGGTGGGGGGGCAGTGATGGGCAATTGACAGGAAGGCCAAGATGAAATGTGTAGGAATCATATAAGTCCAGTACACTCATATAAATGATGCTGATTTAACCTGATATGTGTGGCATATGGGCTGCATATAGAGTCAATGACTTGCCAAAGCCGTTGTAATATAGTAGGAGTGTGATTTGGGAGGGTTGGGGGTTGAGGGGTCAAATTCAGCCAAACTCGAGGTAGAAACCCTCAAACAAAGCCCCAGCACAACCCAACGTTTTACCATACAAGTTTATCCCAAGCCAACCTGAGTATATTTTCCTAAAATTGGGTTAAGCTTGAATTAGGCTCCGGTTGACCGGCATAGTCAGGTTAGTCCAAGGTTTGACTCGGGTTAATAATATTGCAATGAAACAAATAATATAGTCAGGTTAGTCCAAGGTTTGACTCAGGTTACTAATATTGCAATGAAACAAATATTATTGCTAATATTAATATAGGTCGGGTTCAGTTGTGGGCACCTTTGCCCAGCCCAACCTAAATTGAGGCCTGGTTGAAAATTTTCCACCTAACCCCATCCCAAACAACAAAAAGAGATCTCCATGCCCCAACAAAGACCAAGTAATGATCAGGTTGGTTTGGATTGACCCGTTCAAGTTGCGCCCCTATAATATACTAATGAAGTGCTAGCATGGCTACTAAAAGGGAGATATGGATTATCGGTCAATTCCTATTGTCTATATGAAAAGATAATGGGTGTACACATTATATCAGGCACCACTGCATATGAAACCCAGTCTTCCTCATATGGGTCTTTCCATCATATACAAATATGCATTCTCATCATCACATAAAAATTTTTGAGATAACTTTTGCTGACAATATTTGCAAAGTCCGGACTCCAGACAAGAGATCACTAATCCAGAGTATATGAAACTTAATTTTTGTTTGAGTATAAAATAATAATAATAATAATAATAAATAAATACCTGTTCATAGAGAATGTGAAATGCTTGCTTCACAGGTAAATTCACGTCCAACGCAATGACCTGCAGTGTTTGACAAAATTGAGCCAGAAAGCCATAAATCCAACCTAATGAAAGTGATCAAACACAAAGAACTATCAAACAAAAGGCTCAAAAAGCTTGATAGAGTATCCTAACCTTGCCAGACTCAGGAAGCAACTCATAAGCAGTATGCCTGGACAAAAAGACAGATACACGATTGCGAGAAATCTCTATATCAGCCTCTGATATCCTTGGAAGTGCTTCCTGCAAGTTATCATCCAACAATGTGATTTACTCCATGCAGCAAAATAACATACAAACTCTATTGAAATAAAATACTGATGATGACACATGAATGCAATCAATTCTCTACTTTGTTCTATGCATCATGACAAAGAGGTGAGTTTCCTTTAAAAGAACTAGACGTAATAATAAGTTCCAGCAAAACCCACATATATATACCTACCACATATCTTAGATTCATTGTTTTGACATAAATTCTAAAATGAGGTAAAAAAAAGTTGCACTTCTATGCAAAGAATGCTTTTAACCAATCATTGGTTGGCAGAGTGGAGCTGATTAAGTCTGTCATTTCTTCTTATTATTATTTTTGGGCTTCAGTTTTTTCTATTCCAGACACTGTTAAAGATAGGAAAGTTAAAAAATTTATTTGGCGTTGTTCTTCAGACAACCCTATTAATTTGCGTAGACGGAAAAACGTAACTCGCCAGAAAAATGAGGGAGGGTTTGGTATTAGAAGCTTTCACAGTATTGATTTAGCCTCTAAATGTATGCTTGCTTGTAATTTTATCCAGTCCAAGGAGGAGTTATGGGTCTCTTGGTTCAGGGATAAAGTACTTGAAAAGAGCATTCTTTTGGGCTGAATTTGTTGCTTGCTAACATTGAGTTCCAGAAATGGCTTGAATTTTAATTTGTTCCAAGATCCTTGGTTCAATGGCAGATCACTTATTGAGTTATATGGATTCAGACCGTTCAGTGGTCATGGCATCTTAAGGAATGCTCTTATTGCAGCCTTGTCGGTTGATGATCAATGGTCAGTTCCCTCCACATGGCCTGTTTTTGTTATAAATTTCTTTAGAACTTACAGATTCACGGGAGGTGAGGACATCATCAGATGGAAACATGGGCAGTATTCTTTTAAGAATGTTTGGAATGTTTGTAAAGACCTTGGACAAAGGGAAGATTGGAAACAGTTGGTATGGTGCCATTGTAGACCCTGCTGTGCTGATTATGCAGAATGCTATTCCATTTTTTGGTAATTTGCAGAAACGGGGTTTAACACTTACAGCTTATTGTCATAATTGTTATGGGGATAAAGATTCTTTGGATCACTTATTTTGGAGTTGTCCTTTGGCTAGATCTATTTGGAGTTGGTTTGCTTCATTGTGTCAATGGCATGGTCAGCTTCAAACAGTTTCTTTCCAGCTGGCAGCAAATTGGTTCATTAATTATGACCCAGCTTTGAAATTGAAGAGGAAATTGGCTAGAGTTTTCTTTGAAATTGAAGGGAAAGAAATGCTAGATTGCATGGAGGTACATAAAGGACTGCTAATGTGATTGCTTCAGATACTTGCATAGCGGCTCTTCAATTTCTAGAGCTTAATATTTCCGATTAGGGTATATTTTTTGATTGGGTGTTAATCTATTTATTGGGGATTGGGCTTTGATCTTATTCTACTTATCAGTTGTATCCATTGAGGGTTGTTGTTGTGTGTGTGTTGGGTTGGGGGGGGTTGGGGTTGGGGTTGGGGGGGGGGGGGGGGGGGGGGGGGTGCGCGTTGTGTGGGTGCTGGGAAAGTTACACCTGTACAAGGTGAGGTAATCTGCATCATTAAAAGTGTTATCTTTCACACAAGGAATCTTGATGAGAAACTTAGAAGTGTGATTCCTTCAGCATGTTGAAGTAAACTCCCTATAAGTTCCTTTCACAAAAAGGAAAATGCCAAACACAAGGAAAATAGCCCCAGCTACGATGATGCCACTGCGAGAATACATTAGCTAGCAAAAAATTATAGTCGTATGAGTTAAAAAAGTCTCATACCAGACGAAGGAAGGGATCGCCATCCACATCCATATTAGCTCTACCAGGTGTCTCCGGACTAAAAATTGCAGGAACCATATCAGGTTCCCTGGCTAGGAAAATGGTGTTGACTACCCCATAACTTCCGGTTGCAACGGGTTGGTGCTCATCATGCCGCCATTCTCCATCAACCAAAAACTTAAACTGCATGTAAATAAAAAACAACACACCTACACATTATTACTAGGGATAAAGTTACAAGTCAATAAATGTAGTAGAAGAGTTCTTAAATTGAACACTGTGCATAGCATGCTTGATGTAACAACCCTGCAGAATTCATCTTACGCACAAACAAAGTTTATAGGTATCATTCTTGTTATATACCAACTTCAATCATATAAATTGCATTTTATTTGCATGTACCTAAGAGCAAATATGAAATCGTGGTGAGTTTATTTATCCAATAGTTATTTTCATATAGAACAAAATAATTGGCAGTCCCCAAAAGGTTTACATAAACGCAAATATGATGTAGTGCTTCCCAGGCAGCCTTAACACAAACCAAGATAAAGAGAAGACCTACAATCATGTACATAGGGTTTTTTAGCCAATATTAAGGAAAGGCCAATGGATGGATGGGACTTTCTATCTCAAAGATCAATGACAGTCCATTAGGCTTTTTTAAGTTTGAGGAGACTCAGCCAAGAAAATCCACTCTCCTTATCTTAATTGAGTAGTGATGGAAGCCTTAAGCAAGATGCTTGTAGAAATATGCTTAAAGTAAATCCTACTTGTAAAGATGGGTACTGGAAAGAAAACATTGAAGCATAAAGGGTAATGGTTGTGTGTTGTGAATGATATTAAACTTTTTATGATGTGAGGTCAGAAAAGAGCATAATGAGGGGAAAGAAAAGATAGGCGTTAGAGGTGCAGGTGGTGTCACCTTTCTTCTTTGGTGGTGTATTTGGCTGGAATGCAGCATGGTACGTCCAACATGGGTACAAATACCAGCCTTGGAATTGAAGAAGTTGGCCTCAAGTACTACTTTTTTGGCTTGTTGGAGAACTATTTCCATTGTTGGTCTTTTGGAAAACATCTGAGTACATGGCATTTTTTTTCTACCTATGTGCTGCACATACATGCAAGATAACTTGACACTTTTAAGCGGGAAATTTTTACTCATCAAGAGACCTGACAAATAATCAATTCATCACATGTCAAAGCGTCTTAATACAGGTATACAGAACAAGGCTTTGGCTCTCCATTGTACCCAACATAAGAATGAAGAAGGTATCGCAGAAGATCAGAACTCGTACAAAGAAAACATTTCAAGATATTATTATCTATCGAATATGCTACCATGCATAGAAATATATTTATCAGCACAATATACACTTTAATTGGATCAAATATACAATTAAAACTCATAAAACTACAACGGAAAATTATGTGCTATAATTAAGAACGGCTTTTCTCGGGCTTTCAAGTGGGTCTGAATCCTGAGAGCAACTGCTTTAGCGCAAACAAAGCCAAAGGTCAGGTTTGTATCCAGTCCACCCCTCCAAGCACCCTCGATTAATGGGGACCACACCTGGTAGCCCATGACCCTAATTAATAACAATTTACAGACCACATTATTCTCCACATTTCATGATTACAATCCAAAATATTCATGCACAACTAAACATGTATTAATGAATTTTCAAGAAGTAGCTTATCCACTAGTAATATGAGGGTAACCCTCATGGTTTTGGTGGATTTATTAGGTAGGGGTGCAGTGCACACAAAACCATAAAAATTGGTGAAAGGATCTGAGAGCTAATAGTTCAATTCCCATTCCAAAAACCAAGGAACCATGAGCTTTGCTTCGGTTCACGGTTCAGGATTGAAAAAACAGTCTAAACTGAACTGAACTGAACCGCAAGATCCGTAACTTATATATGCATGTCCATTTGTTCTATTCTAATTGGTAAATAAATCTTGTTCCCCATGTGCCGCAAAACACCAAATTACTCAAATACTCAAACCGCAAAACACCAGATTACTCATATACTCTAACCTATCCTAATCTCTCCATTTCACACGAAGCCCCTTAACCTCCATCTCTCTGGCGACTTATCCTCCGATTTCTACTCTGTATAACCCAGCTCTCTCTTCCTTTCACTGATTCCCCGTGATATGGGATACAGGTGCGTGTCTAAGCATCAGACACTTCTAATTCTTGAAATATAGGATACGTGAACACGTCAAATAGTACTTGAAATAAAGCTGGGTAAGTATTTAAACGTAAATTAAGAGAAGGGTATAATTGAAAAAAAAAAATCATTGGGAATTGTAAAAAAAATAAAATAAAATAACGAGGTAATTTTGTTATTAGGAAAAATTAAGGGTAAAATTATAACAATGATTCATTAAAAACACAAATAAAGGTTTTTTGCAGTTCTTCGTTTGCATCGCCCAATCTGCATTCTCGAAAGGGTGAAAGCCCAGCATCTCGATTGGCAACGATACCACCTCCAACATGGTTCGGACAATATTTTTTGACTCTTGACAAAGATAATGGCAAGAGGACCTTTGATAAAACATTGAGGTTGCACTTTTGACTCCTACAAATTTGAATCTCAAGAAGAGCTTAGTAATTTCTTCGTTTTCTTCTTCTTCTTCATCAGTACTACAAATAGCCGTGCCGCACCCATGTCCATGTTCCCTTGTCGACATGGATGGAGTCCAGGTAGCATAGCTGCTACGTGCCTCAATTCTCTCTCTCTCTCTCTCTCTTCTCCAATTCAAACCTCACCCCATCTCTATCTATATCTCTCATTTCCAAATCACTTATAGGGTTTAGTATCCATTTCTTCTGAATTTTGATTAGACCCCAAGCTAATATCTTCAAGACCTAATTGATTGGTACTCGTAGTACTTCTACTTTATCTTGAATTTTTGAGTGAACAAAGTCACGGATATTAATCCATGGAGTGTTCAATGTCATTCCAGTAAGCTCCGAATTTCTTCCATATACAATTTCTGATATATATGTAAATATCTTTGAACATGCATATCTTTGCCGATCTAATTGCATCAGTTTAATGGCTTGATTTGTAGACTCGAGTTTGATTATTTCAATCTATGATCTGGAATTGTTCATCTTTTTAAAGGTCATTTTTTGTTCTCATATGGTTTGTGAAGTTGTTGTATGCTAATTCTTTCAATTGCTCTCTCTCTCTCTCCCCAATTGAACATGTCCAATCTGGTTTTTTATAGTTTGTTTCAGTCCAGTTTGATTTGGTTCCTCCGGTTTCTATAGTTCGGTTTGGTTCCAAAATCTGTGGAACTGTTCAGATCGGTTCAGTTCTGATTTACTTCGGAGCCCAACTAAATTAATTTGTGTGTACCACTAGAATTCAGGGATTACATGATATACATTAGGCCTAATTGAGGGAGACATCTTGATAGTTCCCCAAACATTTGAATCCAACTAAGTAAATACCACACAATACTTCCACTTCTTTGTTTTAAAAAAATCTGGATTTTTTCTACATCAAAAGATTCTCCATGACCATAAGCTTGAAGAGTAACTTCTACAAAAGGGAAGCAAGAGTTAGTAAGGTAGAAGAATATGGTAAGGATCAAATGCAGCACTCTTTGATGGCATGATATATAGCTGCTTGTAACCTCTGAATACTCTGATTTGGACCTCTGACACCATTTCATTCAACTTGAACTGATGACCTCAATTGACTTGTTTCTAAGGCGAAAGAGCACGGAGCTTACAATAACCATCAAAGAGAAAATTGATTGAGCTCCCATGTTGTTTTAATCTGTTTTACCCATACTTGACTACATACCCCAAAAAATGCAGCTCTCTTTGATGGCATGATAGATAGCTGCTTGTAACCTCTGAATTCTCTGATTTGGACCACTGCCACCATTGTCATTCAAGTTGCACTGATGTCCTCAATTGACTTGTTTCTAAGGCGAAAAAGCATAGAGAATATAATAACTATCGAAGAGAAAATTGATTGAGCTCCCATGTTGTTTTAATCTCTGTTACCCATACTTGCCTACATACCCAAAATATAGTTTTGCAGCTATCGCCGTAACAAAGCACTAATACAAGCACAAGATATGTGTCACACACCAGTCTCCACTTGCCTCAGATAGATAATAGTGTCTTACTAGAACTCTTTAAAATTAGAGATTTCAATGGCCAAAGTACACCGTGGAGCAGGGTGGTCAACGATCACCAAAATCATAGCAAAAATTTGAGATAACTAATATCCAACAGGATCACAAAGAAGATGGAGATCGCATTGCTGGAGCCCTTCAAGAACTTTTGTTCTTAGACGATTTTAGATTCTTGCATAGAGAAAAGAAAAGTAAAACACGATTCACAAGCAATGTTCCAATATAATATAAAAATCTTTCTAAATTTCTATTCCACAACCTATTTTGTATTTTCAGATTAACCTTAATTATATTAATATCATTCTTTTATAATTGTAAAACCTTCTAATTTTCTGTACCCAACTTCTTTGCATTTATAAATTAACCCCTGATTCTATTGCATCATTCAAAAAAACATAATGTTACTTAAAAATTTCAGTTATTCCGATCTTCATCCCCAGGGTATTACATAAGATGAGCTTCACTCTGTCATCACCGGGGAGCTCTTGGCGAGGAGACCTGGCGGATAACTATTAAAAATACCGTCACAGATTTTAGGCTCAAGCCAAGTCACCGTAACTTAGGATTTAATTATTAGGTGAGCCAAACACTTCAATACGTACCCATACCTGAATTCAGGCGACCTAGGTCATACGGATATAGAGAGAAAATTATCATCTTCATTTGCCAAATAAACCTTCTTCTTCAAAACCATAATATTCGTCTTATAACTAAAAGCTTCTCTTAATATCTCTGCCAATCTTAAGTGCATTTTTAAGATCTTTGAGACAATGTCAAGGATTGGTACTACTTCAGCAAAAGCCTATTTAGCTAGCAAAAATGTCAGGAAACATTGCCTATTTTAAATTTCTAATACTAAAGAAAAAACGGATAATTTTCATTATCTCCTGTGTACCTTCGATGGAAATACCCTTTCATGAGTGCTTACTTTATGCGGTGACTAAAAAAACTATCTAGATAAACCTCTATCAAAATTTTGTCTTAGAAAGCATGTCTGAATAGATAGGAATCCTTCGTAACAATATGATTTGGTGGTTAAATAAAGCAAGATCACTGATATGGAAAATGCATATAATGGCAGGCTAAGGTAAGGGAAAAATAGAACTACATTTCACATCCAAAAAAGTCCCCTCATTGTACTTTCTACATAACCAAGGTAAAAAAGAGAAGTTCAGATGTTTCTTATATAGCCAATGCAAAAGAAAATCCTGTATGTGGGTGCACCCTAAATATATAGTTTGAAGTTAGCTGGGACAATTCACTAAAGGATATTAAACGTTTAAGCTGAATCTAAATAATTTTCCAAAATAAAAGCACCAATTTAATTAAAATATGGATCAACCATAAAAGTCGACACATTTAAAAAGTATCAAGCATTATTGGTAACTCCAAACTAAAACTATCTGTCAGCCCCCAATACAAATTCCAGATTTTCTAATTATATAGGAACTTATTTTCATTGGGCTGATTGGCTAGCAAAATATAAACATATATATATATATATATATATATATATATATAACCATGACAATACCATACACAACTATTTGTACAGTAAGATTGATCGAGTACCCCTCTATGCTTAACAGATTGCAATCGGCAGTAAGCACACAATAAATATTATTTATAGGAATATAAATCACAATGCTCTTTCGATAAATTATAGCTATTAATCATAATAGTATATTGACCTGGTGATATCCTGGCGTTAAGCTGTATATAACCTGAAATACAGTGGGGCAGCCCTCCATTGGAGACATTGCTATAGGTTCTGACCACCTGCGCATTTAAGAGTTGCAATTCAAACCCATCATCACATATTAACCATAATCAAGTGCAAAAAAAAAAAAAAAAAAACCATAAGTTAATGAAATACAACAAAGAAAAGTACAGATGACCAAAGAGATATCAACATAACAGGGACTGTAGTATCAATATCAAATCCGAATCATTCAAGTGACTTGCCTGTTAAAAGTTCCACTTACGAACACCCTTCTTCCCCCGTAAGGCCAGACGAACCTTGTAGGCATCAATACCGTTCCTGAAACCCCACTGGCATCATGCCCAGTGTCCGCACCAGAAGGAAACATTTTCCCAAAGATTATTTCGAAAACCGAAACCAATCCTCAGAAAACAATTTCTTTACCACGCCTTCCCACTTATCTGCTCTCCAAAATCCACTTCTTAGTTCACCATAAGAAGCTAAACAACACTGTATCTCAACTTTATACACCCACTACAGAACCAACAGCTAAAACTGCCACCTTCGGGATCCTCCACGAAACAGCAGAGGACCCCTTAAGAATTACACATGCAAAGCCACCAAATCAAACAACCCAACAAAACCCTACAAAATCAACAACCAAACTCTCCTTTATATCCACCACGATCTTTGAAGCAAACACTAAATTAAAAAAATAATAATACACTGAAACAATGACCACCTCAACAATCCTCCAATTCTATAGTGATCCCACTATAACACCCTCCAAATCTCGCAAACCATCAATCACAGCTCCTCTGGTTCACAATTCCAAACCACTCTTTACCAAATCGAACGGTACTCAAAAACCATCAAAATTCAACCAATCAAAAATGAATTATTGAGAAAAAGCGATCCAATTCGAGCTCTGATGAACCAAACGCAAGATTTTCCAACCAAATCTAATAAAAAACCCTAAATTACGAAAACCTATGAGAAAACAAAACGAAATCGAACGGATTTCAACAGAATTCGCAGTAAAGAAATGTACCAAAACGTGCCCTAAAATGCAAAAGAAAACCTAATCTTGTACAGAAATCACAGAGTCGACAATGTTGGATCTTCCAAGTCCGGCAATCTCGCGAGTGTAGAGATTTTCAGAGAGAGAAAATATGGAGAAGCAGAAGAAAACGCGAATAATAATAATAATAATATTCAATAATGGACTATTTTCGCAGCTTTTTCTGCTTCTTTTTTCTAGAGAGAGAAACAACTTATTTGGGAAAGTTAAATCAGATCAGACGGTTACAAAGGAGGCATGTGGTGGGTCCAATTGGGTGAGTGGACTATAATCTGTGGGTCCATGATGACAGTTTACAGGTATATAATTTTTACCCTCGAGCCATCCGTGCTTCACCATCAAAAGCGCATACAGTGCAGCCGTGGCACTTACAATTTTACCCTTATATAATTTATCATACATACATACAATTTCTCCATTGCACGTATGTAAGATTACAAGTATTATGTGTGCAATTATAAAGACAATTATTAAATAACTTCAAAAGAATATAAATTTTTAAATCTTAAAATACGAGAAAAGTAATTAATAAATACATAATAATTCATTTTAAAACCTTTTATAATTTCTCTTTCATAACATGCGACAATTATTAGTGTCTAAGGTCAAAGAATTCAATTAACGTAGAGGTGCATAAATCACCTAATATTCTACTGTTTTATTTGTAGAGAGAGAAAAAGAAAAAAAAAGTGTGTGTTATTACATCGGACGGTGATGGAGAGACGTTGTGGTGGGGCCCTTGGGACACTCTGTAATGATTGGTTGGGGCCGTGTGGAGAGAGAAAGAGGGGGGTAGAGAGAGAAAGAGATGCCTTTTGTGCCTTTTGGAGGGTTTAACCAATACCGTACACAGAAAAAAAGGGTGTTGAAAGAAGTTTATGTGATCTCCAGTATTTTATTATTTTTCGTTGCTCACTTTTTGAGTGAAGTTACTGAACTGCCATTAATTATGACTTGTCGTTTTGCTGAGCAGTTGGGTATTGTATTGGGGAGATTATAGAGTAGTGCCAGTACTATTGTGCGTGTGATGTTGATGGAACTAAGCAGATGGGCACCGTTGATTTTCATGAATACGATGGCCTAGTCTTTTCATGTGGTAGTAGTAATAAGTTAAATGGTTTCATGAATATGATGGCCTAGTCTTTTCTTCTTGTAGTAATAAGTTAAATGGCAGGTTGGCATGCAATATATTTTAGGTGTTATAATTTTAGGCGATGCGGAAATAATTATTTTAGTATTTAAAATATTTTGAATAGAAATTAAAATCTTATTTAGTAACCAAAATTTATTTTCGAATAATTCAACATAAAAAATATGAAAATGCGCTTGTGCGTTGGTGTGCATCACTTATAGGTTTAACGTTTTAACATTCAGTAAAAAGTAAAAACCAATGGACCTGTCTGCCCATTGTTTTTGAGCATGAGATCAAGTTCAAGCAGATTGTATTATTTCTATCTTTGCTCCTCCAAAAAAATAATAATAAATAATTAGTAAATAAAAACCAATGGACCTCTCTGCCCATTGTTTTTGAACATGAGCTCAAGTTCAAGCAGATTGTAATATTTATATCTTTGCCCCCCAAAAAATTAATAAATAAATAAAAATATAAAACTAGACATAAATGTTTATACAATTTGTAAAACACTATATTTAATCCAAGAGGACGGAACTTGACCTATTATTAATTGGGACTAAAAAGATTGTAGTTACATGAACTTGATCTTTTTTTTTATGCACTAGACAGTCTCGTGGCATAGGAGAGAGTAGACATATAGGGTCATTGGGATGTCAATCTAATTCCCCATGTTGGGACTCTGCCTCGTCCGCCTCGTCTATTGGGACACGTTTGAGATCATCTTAATATGCTTAAGGGTGGATTTGGAAGAGAATTTAAAACTCATTAAGCCCGAACCCATCCGATTAATGATAAATATTTTTTTATTAGCTATAATTTTTCTTCCTCCTTTATTTCTTATGATAATTTAAATTTTAACAACATTTCTGTAATTATGATTGTTAAATATTTAACTATACTAAAAAAAATTTCCAAAATTTATCTTAAATTTTTTCAAGTTTGAATTATTTTCTTAAAAAATATATACATCGAGTTGCTTTGAACTAGGCCCGACTCCAATGGCAACTTTAGAAAAAGAACTTCATTCGTGAGACGATTATAAAAAAATGAATGTTCAGCTGAACCCGCTCCATTAACGTCCCTGTATAGAAGGTGAAATTATTCGTTTCAACGGTTACAACGGAGATGTGGTTTTAAAGATGGGTACAAACACTTCATGAAAGCAGATTTTGAGCTTTTTGATTGTATTATAAGTCTTCTTTAATTTAATGTAGGATTTGTAATGTCCTTTACACCACATTAACATTGTAATGAATAACTTCTTTCCCTATAGATCCAAATGGGTTGTTACACGGAATCTTTTATACGCACTGTTTGATATTCTTTCCCTAGAGGTCCAAATGGGTTGTTACACGGAATCTTTTATATGCACTGTTTGATACTGTGGACCAATGGGTTAGAAACAATTACAAGTCAAAACGGTACTAATCAGTAAAAAAAAAATTGTACTTTCTTGATTGATTATAAAGATTTGCACAGAACATATCTTTTGATGGAGACTCCACTATACGTTTAAATTTTAGAAAGAAAAAAAAAATTCAATGGACAAGTTTATTCCCTATTTTTGTTTAGGAATGACATGAAACACTTGTTTTTATTATCAAGAAAATTAAATGTTTTGATTGATTTAAATGGAAATCGAGCTTGAATTGATGATTCTGGATCACAGTGCGTGATTTATGAGCTTGAATTGATTTATAAACTCTATATTTATGGACTTTATTTGACTTATGATACTGAGTTTTTAGAATTTGAACTAGAAATACATTGTTGATAAATTTTATCTATTTTCAAATTTAAGGCGTTGATTTAGTGCTCCTAAATTCAACATTTGAATTGATAATTGATTTGGAGTTAAAGTTGAAATTGAATTGAGTTGGTTTATGAAATGGATTTGATTCAGAATTTGATTATCATCAACAAGACTGATTTATAAAAATTGAACTTGGATTGAAATCTATTTATGAACCTTAAACAAACTGGAGCTGATTTGCTTTTAATAAACTAGTTTTGGAATTGAGTAGGGACTTTAACTAGAACTTGAATTAAATAGCATTGATTTAGAGTTAAATGGAATTGGATTGCATTGAGTTGGAATCAAATAGATATTAACTGTGAACTGTGTGAATCGTCTTGATATATAGTATTGAATCTAGAATTAGATTGGGACACTGTAAATGCTTGGTTTAGTTTTCTAATAATAGTCTTCTTTTTTTGAAAACTGAAAATAAAATAACTGTACACAAATCGGTTTAGTTGAGAGTTTCGGAGAACTGTTTTCTGAAAACTTGGTTAAAAAAATAGTCTATTTTCAAATAAATGTCTACTATAATTCTCGGAAAACAATTTTTTCTTTTTTGAGTTCTTAAGTGACAAACCAAATAGGGATTTTGAATTGAGATCTATGTACTTGGATTGTCAAGATTGAAATTGAGTTCTATACTTAGAGAGATGCGACTAAAATCTAAGATTAAAAGCTGATAAAATTATTAGGGTGTTTTTTCAACGAAATTGCCAATCTCTGGTCATTGATTCTTGGATCCATATCCCAACTGAGAATTCTAGAGTTTCATCCAAAAAGTGGAAATCTAAAGATCTGCACTTTGAATCATTTCTTGACACTATAGTTGCATTCATCTGTCTGCTTCATATATTGACTTCAAATTTGGCCATTAGCCAATTTATCACATACAAACACATCTCTGAATGTTAATAGTACTATTTATGTACAAGCATTGTCCATGAAAGCTTCTTTACCCACAAATGGAAAGAGCGCGCAATTCGGATCACTTGTGAAATCATGAAAATTTTTAGTGCTCCTCACTACTCAATGACCCCATCTGTCCAGATTCCGAGAACAAGTTATCGCTGTGTTCACATTCTAAATTCTACGTACCAATTTAGGCCTTAATAATGTAGAAGTTTCATATTTGTACCCAAGTCACACAGAATGAGACCGGAAGCAAGATAGAGCACGAGTCATAGAGAGGGATCTGGAGCAGGAACAGGAGTGTGGAGAGGTAAGAGCGGGCATCCGTTGAGAAGAATTATGTATTAGGTTCGTATAAGTCCCTTTTTTGGGGGGAGAGCAAGAAAGGGAAGCTCAGTAAGCGTAGGCGGGAAATATGGATCACAGTATCTATCAAAACCCAAAAAAAAAAAAAAAAAAAAAAAAAAAAAAAAAAAAAAATCTGTAATTTGAATTGCTCCAACCATGTACTATATGTATATAATGTTCATCACAAACCTATATTTACGAGTCATTACAAATTTACAAGAAATGGAAGCCATAAATGGCACTTCAAAAATCTTAGAACTGAGTGATAGCATAAGAGACAATGGTGTTTCCCCTTTCCCACAAAAAATTAAAAAATAAAATAAAATAATAATAATAATTTAGAACCTCAACTAATATGTAGATTCATAAAAACCATTTAATTTCTATTCACATTCAAATCCACCGTAATAGAAATTTGATCAAATATATAGACAATAAAAAGGAAGAAATAAACAATTTCTCCCCTAGCCTAGGAGGTAGAATCACAAGGACTTTTGTATCACAAGTATAATAAAGTAAATTTAAACAACCCCCCCCCCCCAAAAAAAAAAAAAACACACGCTCACATGGAGTAAAAGCAAGTGAGGGGAGACACATTGCTGAGCCTTCTTGAGTTGTTTTGCAACTTCTATCATTGTTGTCCTATCTTCTGCTGTTCTGCTTAAGCATCTAAAGGCAAGTTCTGCAAAAGCTTGCACTTGCAGCTCTTGCTCTAGTCCACAACCCTCTCCCAGTATATTGGGATCAATAATCTCATTAAAACTTTTGTTCTCAACATGGCGCTTCACACAATCTTTTAGTGTAATATGTCCATGATTGCTCGAACGGTCAAGGCCAAAACTGCTTTGTCCAGTCAAAAGCACAAGTAGTAACCACCCGAAACTAAAAATGTCCGTCTTCTCAGTCAAAAAACCAGTAGCCAAGTACTCTGGTGCGACGAGTCCCATTGGCCATCCA